AAAGAGCTGGCTGACATCATATCAGATGTCACTTTTAGTTATATGTGTGTGACCAGACAAGCAAAGACTTTTGTATATTGAAACAACAGTTTAGGAATGCTGATACTTTTTTGTGCAAAAATGCATTGGTTTTTTTATTTGATGACTATTCAAAAAGCTCAGTGTGTAAATTCCAGTTCTAATGGTCTGAATCCTTGATGCTGGGTTATACTGATGATATTATACTTGAAATGTGCAATTCACTTGTATTTTTATATACTTGAAATGTGCAATTCACTTGTATTTTTATTTTTTATTCCTATTTATTCTATTTATCCCCTTCGTATATTTTATTTATATTGTCTCTGTATTTATATATATGTGTGTGTGTGTGTGTGTGTGTGTATATATATATATATATATATATTATATATATATATATATATATATATATATATATATAATATTCTGCAACTCTGTAACTTCTGTCGGTGCTGTACTTTTTTGGAAATCGAATTTCCCAGAGGAACCCACCCGAGGGATTAATAAAGTTCTATCTAATCTATCTATCTATGTAAAGCAGATGTGAAATATGATATTTACACTGAACATCTATTTGAATGCTGCTGGAACGTCCAACTCCAATCTTATTTTCAGCCTTGCAGAAAAATGACCGTCTGTCTCTGAAGACTTTAATGTTTAAACTGGTTCCTGTTCCGATAAATGTCTCCTGGTCTCCATCAGCTCTGTACCAGGTGTAGTTCCACACTGCTGGGTTGGCATTAGTGCTGCAGGTCAGACTCACATTGCTGTTCTCTGGTACTGGACCAGAAGGACTGACTGAAACTGTGATGTTTTTAGGTGAATCTGAAAGTTAAGGAATAAAACATACAAACTAAAATGTTAAGACAGTTTTTTTTGCAGAAGTAGTGTTTATAAATTGGGTACAATGCCTTCAGTATATATTTTTTCCCATTAAATTAATAACTCATACACATCTAACACCAAACAGGAGAGAAGGGAGCAAACCGCACCAATTTACTCATTTTTTCTTTTATCAAGAAAATTTGTAGAGTGATAGTAAGAAGTTGCTTTGGCCCTTTCTTTCTAAATACTGATGTATCCAATAAAAATCCATCCATCCATCCATCTTCATCCGCTTTATCCGGGGCCGGGTCGCGGGGGCAGCAGCCTAAGCAAAGAGGCCCAGACCTCCCTCTCCCCAGCCACCTCCTCCAGCTTATCCGGGGGAACACCAAGGCGTTCCCAGGCCAGCCGAGAGATATAATCTCTCCAGCGTGTCCTGGGTCTGCCCCGGGGCCTCCTCCCGGTGGGACATGCCTGGAACACCTCACCCAGGAGGCGTCCAGGGGGCATCCTTGTCAGATGCCCGAACCACCTCAGCTGACTCCTTTCGATGTGGAGCAGCAGCTGCTCTACTCTGAGCCCCTCCCGGATGGCCGAACTTCTCACCCTATCTCTAAGGGAGAGGCCAGCCACCCTTCGGAGGAAGCTCATTTCCGCCGCTTGTATCCGCGATCTCGTTCTTTCGGTCACTACCCACAGCTCGTGGCCATAGGTGAGGGTAGGGACGTAGATGGACCGGTAAATTGAGAGCTTCGCTTTTACACTCAGCTCCCTCTTCACCACGACGGACCGGTGCAGCGTCCGCATTACTGCAGCTGCAGCCCCAATCCGTCTGTCGATCCAATAAAAATGATTTTTCTTTGTCTTTATATTGACTGACTGAACAATGCAACTTACAGTCACTTCACCAACTTTATACTTCTTTTTACTGAGTGTCAAAAACTACCCATTCATCATCTTCCAGGGGGGTTGGAGCCTAGCCCAAATGCCACTGGGTGAGAGGCAGTGTACACTGACACAGACAGTGATTCTGTTCTGTGGGCAATTTTAGAATCTCCAGTAAACCTACCCCTCCGTCTGTGGGTGGGAAGAGAAACACCACATAGAAAGGCTCCAGCCAGATGGTGGACTTTTTTGATACTTCTTTTTCTCTGTGTCTTATTTAGAGTTTGGTCGCCATGGCAATGATAAATGCCCTGGTTCTTACATACCACTATTCTACTCAACTTAAACCGCTTCATACAACATGCCTCATCCATTCACCTAATTTATGTTTAAGTGTTTTCTAATTAAAATAATATCGAAAGTGTTTTGTTCATCGGATAACAGCTTATCTAAATATCGTTACCCGAGGATATTTGGTGTGCAAATTGGCTCCACTCTGCATGCCAACCTTCCAAATAGTAGATAACCTGCTCTACCTTCTGAGCTACACCGGGCACGTGCGAGGGGCGGCTTGAGCACCTGCCCCTTTCCTGATGGGTGTCCCAAATGCCCTTTTCTTGAGGCAATTGTTTTATGTGTGTTTTATGCATGCGGCGCGTCTGCGCAGAAACATTGGGTAGGATGTTTTTTGAGGCAGGACGCACATTTTTTGCTGTTTGAGCGGTGCCCATATGACAAGCCATTTCAGCCACGAGTTTTCTACGCGAGTTTTCTAACACGTCTGATTAAGAAATGCCGTAAAAAACACTGTTTAATTGCGTTGACCTGACAGAATACCGTATTTTACACCAGGAAGTGGCGTCTTAAACGCCGTTTCTGAACGGGAGAAAAAAAACACACTTTTACCTGTCTTTGAACGCCACTCAGCAAAAAATGGCATTCAAAGACAGATTAAAAACTGTTTTTTCCGGCGTTCAGTGTCAGCTGTGAAGGCGTTTAAAACACTGTTTACTTGAAACTATGCAGGGCCTTCCCCATGGTGTTAAACTGCATTTCTTACGCCATTTCTTAACCAGACGTGTTAGAAAACTCGCAATATTTGGCAGAAATGGCTTACCATATGGAGAGCTGTAGAAGAAGCAAATTAAATGGGAGACGCAGACTGATGCAACAAAAACCAGTTAGGTGTACATCGTACACTTAGTATGCGTTCACAGCATACACATAGTCTATAGCACACAGATGAACCTTATTATTATATGTTGGTAAGTTGTCTTGTGACAACTGACAAGTTGAAACAGATGAGCGTGCTGTGTGTGAAACAGCGCAACAAACATTACCTGTCCTTTTATTAACTGCACAAGTAGTGCTGGTCATTAGCTGCCAGCTAACTGGGTAAAGGTCTGTAGCTCTGTCCACCGTTTCAGGGAACATATTTAGTTTTAAAGTAAGTTACAGGGCTTTTCCTGCCTTCCTGGAGGGCTTATATTTCACTGAACAGAATCTAACACACATATCCAAATAATTATGGATTATTATAATTATGATTTTTAAAAAACACACCCTATGTTATTAAAGAAAATACATTAAGAAACAAAATATATTAGATTTATATTTCAAATATGACAAAATGCTGATTTTACAAAATTATTGTATCTTTACAGTTTAAACATTTGTGCAGGCAGAAAGCTTATTAGAGTGTACAGTCAAACAAATTGAATCCTCATAAATACATTATTTCATGTTTATTACTTAATTTGTTTATATCCATCCCTTTATTATTATAGCACTAGGAATAAATAATGAGGGAATTATTCTGGATCAGCACCATGATACAAACTTGTGGCCATAGTATATACAGTATTCTGAGAAGGTTTTTTATGAGTATAGATTTTTTAAATTATAACTCATGATGTGATATTGTCCAGACATGCCCTGTAAGGACATGAGGAGGAAACAGTGTTAAAAGGAGTTGTGTGAGGCAGTGGATCTCTCACCAGTTATTAAAAAGAGCACAGGTATCAATAACACATGTACCAGCTGTTCCACTGCAAAGGTATTCAAGTATAAAAATAATAATAAACACAATGTTTTGGTTCTATAACATTTTCTATTATTACTTTATTATAGAGGTACAAGAGTTGTTAAGTGTGGATAATTAAATAAAAGATTAGTGCAATAGCAAAGTGTGCCTTGTTGTCAGATGGACAGCAACTGGAGAGTGATAGATGAGATGAGGAGATGGAAGAGAGGCAAAGAGTGATTCACAGGCAGAGCCTAGTTTATTTCTCACAGTTTTATTGCCTTATGGTTCCAAGCGCTGTCACCAATCTTTGCATTTCATTATTATTTCATAACACTTGTTTAATCAGCAACCATTTCTCATATGGACTTTTTACAGTCTCAGATCAGCACAGCCCTGCCCTCCAGTACTATCAGCAGCAGGAGCAGCAGCAACCCCTCAACAACAACATTGTACCCATCAGGTAAAACATGGGCTAAGTTTGCTTCGCACTGTCCCCACCTGATGACAGTGATATAGTATGATGATGTTCCATATTAGATTCCTGATGGTTGGTGGGTGTGGCTTCAGCCTGGTTCTATGTGCCCCTTTTTAACTTTGAGCACCGCCCCTTTGAACATCTCTGCACAGCCCTGAGCTACACTCACCCCAGCCACCCCTCCTGAGCTAAAACCAACCAACCTCACCTCCCCTGAGCTACAGTCCCACTTTACCCAGTTGTGTTCATCATCCATATTTAATGAGTGTGTATTTATTGCCTCTATCTACCCACATTTCTTTGTTGCATTGGACTGTTGAATATTCATTTTCTCACTCACATTTGTCCTGGTTTGCATTCAAAGACATTATTGGCTACCATCTGGATTTTTCTGCTACACCTGAACAAAGGTTGATTTTTTATTTACTATCTGTGGCCTGAGTCTGGAACTGGGGCCTCATTCTCACATCACATAACAGTTATCTGAATTTTGTTTTTTTAATAATTCTGTTTTACTGGTTGTGTATTCACAAAACAAATATCATAACTTGGGGAAAATACATGATACTATATATAGTAAGTGAAACTCTGAAACTGAAAACTGTAAAGTGAAAAGCAACTGTCAAATGTGACTGACTAAATGTAGTTTTACTCTTAGAGAGAATAAATAACAGATCTAGATAACTGTATTTATTACTAAATACATTACTACCACTATTTAAACGTTATTACTATTTATTTCATTTGAGAAGAGAAAAATAAACTCACATGAAATATCAGGAGTTAAACTTGCTTCAGCAGTGACATCAGGGCTACCATCTTGTTTCTGGTAGACAGCAGTGCAGGAGATTTTATTTCCATGATGGATGTGAGAAGCAGTGAAATTCATAACAGAGGTCCTGACTTTAGTTTTGTCCTGATTCTCCTGCAGTGTCTCCTGACTCTGACCCAGGTTAGGGCTCCATGTCAGAGCTGGAGGATGAGACCAACATGGAGCTGGAGCAGAGCACGTCAGACTCACAGAGGCTCCCTCCTCCACCTCCACTGTGGATGGAGTCAGAGTCGGTGAAGGAGGATCTTGTGGTGGGAAGAAATATTTTCATCAGTCAATAAAGAAATGAGCAGTAATTAATTTCAGGGGTTTTTTTGCTGTGTAAAATCCAGTAAATTCACAATGTCAAAGTCAACGCAGCTTGACAAGTGTCATTTATTCACATGAATTGTCTTTATATGGATATAAAAACTTACCTATGAATGAAATATCTACACCAGCTTGTTTAAAAGTGTATATCAGTGGTTTATCACACTCCAGTCTGAAGTAGTATTTACTTCTTTGAAGAAGACTTGCATTATTGAAAGTTGTGGTGCAGTCTTTCTTTGTTAAGTCTCGTGTCATTTCTTTAGTTGCAAGCAGTTTTGCAGCTCCATTGTCCCAATATGCTTCACATGTATGATCTAACATGTTTTTATAGCTCTTCTCTACGTCAAAGAAGCAGGGGATGATCACACAGGTTCCACTCACGACATTTATATTCTGTGGCACTGTGATCCCCCACGTTCCACCTGAAAAAGATAATGCTTTTAATTTCGTTACAATAATTGGTATATTGTACTACAGTCGATTCCATTTTTTCTGCTTCTCCAGTTGAAGGTCGCTAGGGAGCTGGAGCATGTCCCAGTTGGCATGTGGCAGGAGGCAGGATACACCCTGGACCAGTCGCTAATCTGTTACTGAACTAACATATAGAGACACTCATATACTCAAGTCCGGGCAGCTAACAATCACTAGTTAACCAAACCCTGTGCACATCTCTGAACTGTGGGAGGAAGCCAGAGTGCCCTGACAGAACCCAATCAGACAGGAAGAATATGCAAACTCCACACACTACACAGTGTCCCCATTCAATCATACTAATAGAATTCTATTTGGATAATAGTCAGGGCATGTAATCAATAAAGTAGGAATATTAATGAAATTGAAAGGTAATTTGTTCACTTTAATATTATGAAAGACAGACATACCAGCTTCTTTTGCACTCTGACTGAATTGTTAATGGAACGTGCCACTACATACCATAAAGCCAAGTGACAAAAGTAAAACTGCTCTGCAAATACTTTCCAGTTTGAGCACCAGAGTGAAATTAAAAATGTATACAAACGCATGCGTAAAGTGAAATAACTAATAAATTATTTTTTTTTTTAAAAAACCCACATGTTAATATGACAAAAAATAAAAATTGTAGTTTAAACTTTAAAAAATTGTCAAATGTGACTCATTACATGTAGAATTGCTTTATTCTAAGCCAGTATTAGAGAGTTCCTACAGAAGTAAACAATATTGCTTGGAAATTGTATGTTTTACTGGATATTATAGGTCATATATTCTCAGAAAGGAAGACCTGCAGTTGACTTTAATCATTAAGACAATCATACATCAACGAAATCAATTTGTGCGAACCCAGCCCAATTTTTACTCTTTAAGTGTTCGTGTGTGTGTGTGTGTGTGTGTGTGTGGGGGGGGGGGGGGGGGGGGGGGGGGCTACTTTTAACTATGTAAAGCACTTTGTGCTACATTTTTTGTATGAAAAGTGCTTTATAAATAAAGATTGATTGCTTGATTGATTGATTGACTGATTGACTGATTGATTGATTGATTGAAAGGAGAAGTTTGTATATTTATCAACATTTAGGAGATTAAGTCTTCCATTATGTTTTGCAAATCCCAGAGAAGTCATGATTGCAGAATAACTAAAATCATTACGTTACTAGCTGTTTTATGTCTAATTTGAACAAAGCCAAGAAAAGTAAGTCAATAGCAGTGACATTATTTATAGTAGAGGACAAATAAACTTACTTGAAATATCAGGAGTTAAACTTGCTTCAGCAGTGACATCAGGGCTACCATCTTGTTTCTGGTAGACAGCAGTGCAGGAGATTTTATTTCCATGATGGAGGTGAGAAGCAGTGAAATTCATAACAGAGGTCCTGACTTTAGTTTTGTCCTGATTCTCCTGCAGTGTCTCCTGACTCTGACCCAGGTTAGGGCTCCATGTCAGAGCTGGAGGATGAGACCAACATGGAGCTGGAGCAGAGCACGTCAGACTCACAGAGGCTCCCTCCTCCACCTCCAGTGTGGATGGAGTCAGAGTCGGTGAGGGAGGATCATCTGGCAAAAAGATCAGCCAATAAAGAAATGAGCAGTAATTAATTTCAGGTTTTTATATTCTGTGTAAAATCCAGTGAATTCACAATGAAGTCAAAGCAGCTTGACTCGTGTCATTTATTCATATGAATTGTCTTTATATGGATATAAAAACTTACCTATGAGTGAAATGTCTACACCAGCTTGTGTAAAAGTGTATATCAGTGGTTTATCACACTCCAGTCTGAAGTAATATTTAGTACTTTGAAGAAGACTTGCATTATTGAAAGTTGTGGTGCAGTCTTTCTTTTTTAAGTGTCCTGTCATTTCTTTAGTTGGCTTTAGTTTTGCATTTTCACTGTTAAATGAAGTTGAATCACTCCAATATGCTTCACATGTATTATCTAAGTTATTTTCAAATTTGCTCTTAACATCAAAGGAGCAGGGGATGGTCACACAGGAGCCTCTCAAAACATTTATATTCTGTGGCATATTGATGTTGAACGTTTCACACAGTGCACCTGAAACACAACACAATGAATTGTAAAAAAGAAATGCAAACAGTAATTTACAGCAACAGTACAGTTTTAATTATTGCAGCCTTTATCCAGAGTTATCACTGCTGCTAGGACTTCAGTGTTTAATTCAGGTACAAATGCTAAATATTTTTACTGTTAAATATCTAATAAATGGACACCCTTTGTAGTTTAGTAGATGTTTCATGTTAAATAATAATCTTTACATGATGCTGATTTTCTTTCACTCACCCTGCAGCAGAGAACTAATGAGAAGAAAAGTCAGAGTTCCAGCCATCTTGTTACAAAAAAGTGAAGTTTAAAGGAGTCTGAAGTTTGCACATGAAACAATTTACATGATTATTTGTTAAACATTACCAGTGACAAGCTGTTATGGTGAAAAGTGAAGTAAATTATTTTTTTATGTATTCTGTTAAAACTCTCAAATGATGTTTGAGAATATTTTTAGTGCATTAGCTCAAGATAACAGCGTGATACAGCACATTTTTTCACTCAGTAACAGGGCTCATTATTATCTTTAAAATATGTGACAATGACAGTAATGGTAATTTTGCAAAGCCCAGTGCTCGCATGTAACTACTGTCACTACGAGGATAATTATTAAGCCTCAAAAAATCTGCTAAGATACCAGCGTAGAGCTCTTATTTCAAAAAGTTATGTTCATAAACATGATAGACGAGAGAAAAAGAAAATCCTTCACCTTTTCCCTGTGGAACTTTTTCCTCGACAAATATGATGTTTAATCTAAATCGCAGTGAATCAAAGGATGATAGAAATGTTAGCTTTGCATAAAACTTTGATATTTCTTCCATATTTAAGATATAAAAACTTACATTCTTACGAGCTTCATAGAGAAGTCATTTCCACATATGTGAGGTTTTTTAAGAACTGTTCAGGAAGCGATGTAAAAAGAGGAAATAACACAAAAGTATGAGTGTCAATATTAGATAGATGCTTTTACCAGAAGTGGCTGTTAACAGTAACACCTTCTTTTCTGACCATGATCTCCACAACACGTCTTTCACCACTGAATGTGCTGTAAACATTTCTATTCACTTAGTAATAATGTTCATTATTTGGCTGAAGGAATAAAGTAGATTAATGTTTCTATTTTCTAAACAAGAAATTGAAAGTTAAAAACAGTAACAGTAAGACTGATGTTGTGTAAATTTCATTAATAAATAATATGTACAATATTACTTATTAATGAATAAAGGTGTGTTCACCTGTCACGTGCACAGATAAATTAAAATTTCTATCAAAGCTTACAGAAATTGAATTTAATGTTTTTCATCTTTGGCAGTTACACAAGTTGACACTAGGTGGGAGTGTTTTCGGGGGTTAGTTTGTCCTGTCTCTTAGCAGGAGCATTTTCATTTCATGTTGTATGTGCGGTGTACTACCTGTGTTAAGCTTTGGCTTCCAATCTTTCACCGTGCTGGTCTTGATCCTGTGACTTTCTGGATAGATTAGTATAGAATAAGTAATCTATGCTCAGAAAACAAATGATTTAGTATGCATACTAAAAAATGTCTTTCTAAATCACCACCCACAGTCACACACCAGAGGCTGTAAATTCACATGTAACACTCAAGAGGCACGGTGCAAAACATAAGATCTAAAAATCATTAAAGTATAACCACAAACTAACTGAAATAAAGAATATTAATAATCAAAAACATAAACACTGAATCACCAGACTCAGGACCTTGACAGTAAGGATGGAAACCTTACGCACTAAAAGGAATTTAAGACAAACAAAAATTAAAGCAAGAAACTCTGATGTACGAAAAGTAAACTGTATTGGAAATGTTGGTATTTTGCTGCTGCCTGAGCTTCTTTAAGGCAGACTCAGGTGTGTGTACAATGATCCTGTGTTCTGAGTAATCATGGACTTTGTTTAACATGCATGTTATGATGTAGTTCATATGAAAACTCACACTATGGGGTTGCATTATTAAATATAGTAACTTGTTGAATGATATATACATTTTTATTACATTCTGCCTTTATTATTATTGCTGCCTGCAGTTCAGACCTGACACAAACACAATAATACAAATAATATTGACAAATAATATTGAATATTGAAACTGAAACTCAGACCTGGCACCCATGGAAAACATTTAACATGTTGTGAAATAAGAAATACAACAATAAAACACAAACTATTGAGCAGTTCAAATCATTTGTTGTGCTCATCTGTCACTACAAGGCCTTCAGACGATTAGATAGTTTATTCCAAAAATGCATTACATCTTCTTGGCTGTGGAGAATAGATAGAAACAATTACATTTGATAACTGTAAATTTACAGGGCACTCTCATATAGTACATGAGATTACAAAGGTTGCACATCTGCCAATGGAACAATGCATCATAGTGTTGAAATCTCCCAATTCTTTGAATCTTTGGGCTGAAGGAAGGACAATACTCGGTGTATAAATGCTCAATCAGCAATCATTTATTTCCATACAATTCAACACAAAGAGCATTTAGAACCATCATGATGGGGAGACCTGCCTGCAGAGGGTCACAGCAAGTCTCAAAATGGTGACGGGTTGCTTAGCTTTTTATAGTCTCTAGTGGCCCCCACCTAGTCGTAAAAGCCTAAATATTCACATTCTTTCTCTTTTACGGCGCCTAAGTTATGACCTTGGCTCCCTGTCTTTCTGCTCTTCTGAAAGGTGGGGGTATGGAATGTGGTCTGTCTATCTCCCCTGTCTTAGACACAGAGTCTCCTGCTTACAACCTTCTTTTCATGATTCAACAATTAAGCATGTAATACATTCACAGCAGATCAAGGATACAGAGTGATGCACACTTATCTAATAAACTAATAAGTGAATATGTTCTTTTAACTCAAAAGTATAACGAGAACTAAACTACATACAGGTCACACACTCTATATTAAAGGGTATAATATGATCTACAGCAGTATCATACTTCAACTACTTTGATTACATATATAAGGTAACATATGATAACAGAATAATATCACAATAGCTATGCAAGATCTCCCTCTTAAAAACAGAAAAAGCGCAGATTTGTTGATCAGTGATATCTCTGTTTCCTGAACTCTTACTTCTGACCAGCTCCTTGACCAACCCCACCTGAGAAGTTGCATCAGATGTGGTGCAGTGGACAGAGCAGTGCTAGGTGGCATTTAATTGAGTGAAAAAGGCTCTCTGTGCAGAACCTCTGCTCCACACTCCTAAATTTGCCCTCCCTTTTGTTCAGTAGACTGTACTGAGCAGATGGCTGGAGGCTATTTTGTCTCAGTACATAGTAGTCGACTACTGAGTTGTTTAAATCAGCCAAAAGTTGTCAGAGCGTCAAAGCTATAATAGAACTGTGACGTAAGAGTGCTTGGCATCTCTCCACTATCAACTCCTTGAATGCTAATTCACCCTCAGCTTTCACCACACCCCTTTAAAGAGATTCCATCATGTAAAGCGTGCTATTAGGCTAGTTTGCTTAGCTACACAGTGGTTATTCAATGCATTTCAATAAAGACTAGTATAACAGATAACTGATTTTTTTTCACATTAGTATCATTTAACTGCCAAACAAAAAATACAGCAAAATCTTACAATCTTAAGAAAAAAAATCTTATCTATTGGATCATTTTCAAGGTCAGCATCACTGACTCTTTGGAGCTGTGTTAATGACATCATATTCTGAAGAGCTGACGGTTCTACCGCTCAGTGACATATAAGTTCTGTCCTCTTCTTTTGGCTTCACATTCTTTCGTACTTTGCTGCAAAAAAAGAAACAAATAAATTATTTGAAAGCATGCTATAAAAACATCAGTAGGCTTTCCATTGTGAACATACTAACATACCAAAGGCATGCCGAACAGATGACACTGACACTGAAAAACACGCCAGCGAGGACCCAAGGAACGACTCCACTGTAAAGTCCACAGTGCATTTCAGACCCTGCCATGAGAAATAAAGCCATGGACATTATATTCCTAATCAACTAATACTTAAGTTACAAGTAATTATTCTGGCATCATGACATGGATCAGCTCCAACAGAACAAATCTGATCATTGTCAACTTGTTTGCTTGTTTGTTTTTACCATAATTAATAGTATTTATGGGTACACTTGAGACCCTGTTGACTATCATAGCCCTTGACAGAATCTTGCACACTGGTAGCATCAACTTTAATGCTTTAATTTATAAAGTATATCTATTATATGTGTTAGTACTACAGCATGTCAGAGTCACATTGGTGTTTGTTGGTACTGGACCAAATGAACAGCACATTCTAGTGTCTTAAACAAAGTCTTAAACAGTATAGTCTGGCTGATTTAAGAGATTTAATACTCTACAAATTGTAGAGTGGTAAGCCAGTCTTGATTCCTTTTTCTTTAATTTGTGAGGTTAACTGTTGATTCAATACTGACCATAGATGTGAGTGTGAATCAATTATTCTCTGTGTGTTTGCCCAGTGACAGACTGCAGAATTTGATAAGCAGAAGAAAATGGAAGGATACATTTTTCAAATTTATGAGACTGATTGACAGGTAGCCCACTGAGTTACCACTGTGAGAGGATCAGCCAAAGCCCCACTGAATACAGTTTAGTACACCTACACAAACGATGTAACAACACAACAATTGGTAACATGTTAGTGAAGGTGGTCATAAACCAAAGTGAACAATTTACATTTTGTACTACGCATCATTGTATTTATTGAAGTATATCCAGCCTTTTTATAGTTATTTGGGATAATCCCATTGCAATGATGTAAACCATATTGTCTTGCTTTTCTGATTTGTGCTGTTATAAATAGGAATGTATTTTATTACTGTGGTTGAGACATTAAAACCATCTGTGCTATAGTCTTTGGTGAGCTGTGATACTTACACCAGATACCCAGAAATGTCAGAAAAATGAAATAGGCTACTAGCAAGGGACAGTGGCATTCAGTGTAGTAGTTGTAGAGTATAAGAGAGGTGAATTATGAATTATTAGAGGTGAATTATTATATGAGAGGTGGATTATGTGTTGCTAAAATTCTGGATGAATAGAAATGCCTAAAAATGTGATACATAGACTGGACTTGAGTCAGATTAGAACAGGGGTAGGCAACTCCAGGCCTCGAGTGCCGGTGTCCTGGAGGTTTTAGATGTGTCCATGATCCATCACAGCTGATTTAAAGGGCTAAATGACTCCTCAGCATTTCTTGAAGTTCTCCAGAGGCCTGGTAATGAACTAATCATTGGATTCAGGTGTGTTAACCCAGGGTGCGATCTAAAACCTGCAGGACACCGGCACTCGAGGCCTGGAGTTGCCTACCCCTGGATTAGAATGTGCAAATCCAATCTTGTTTTCAGCCTGGCAAAAAAATACCTGACTGAATTAGAGGCTACAGTGTTTAAACTAGTTCCTGTACCAAATAAAGTCTCCTGCTCTCCATCAGCTCTGTACGAGATGTAGTTCCTCACTGCTGGGTTGGCATTACTGCTGCATGTTAGACTCACATTGTTGTTGTCTGGTACTGGACCAGAAGGACTGACTGAAACTGTGATGTTTTCAGGTGGATTGGAAAAATGAGTTTTAAAAAATTAAAATTAGTGGTGTACTGTACATTGGGTATTGCACTTTCTGACATAAAGCCTTATAAATCTATTTAAAAAGATGACATGACTTAAATAATAAACAAATTCATGCCCTGAGTTTTATAACATTGCTTGCAAGACGCCTTATACTTCTAAATTGGAAAAATAAAGCCCCCTCCAACTCATTCTGCTTTATTAAGAGACACAATGTATCATTTACAGTTGGAGAAAATTAAATTTTCATTAAGAGATAATGTTAAACAGTTTTACCTAATTTGGCAACCCTTTATAGATTACTTTAATAAGTAAAACTGTGAGGTATGGCCTCCTCCCGTATCTGCCCCAAGATTATATATATGGGTCTACGCAGGTGCTGTTTTTTTTTTTGGTTTTGTTTTGTTTGTTTGTTTGTTTTTTGTTTTCTTTGTTTTTGTTTTGTTTTTGTTTTTTGTTTTTGTTTTGTTTTTTTTGGGGGGGGGTTCGTTTGTTTTGTTTTGTTTGTTTGTTTTTGTTTGTTTGTTTGTTTTTTTCCCTCTCTCTCTCTCCTTTGAATATACTTATTTTGGATAATAAATGTGTATGTATAGACATAGATTTGATTGTTTATATAATGGTAATTATATTTTATGTAAAAAGGATGGGGAGAGGAAGGAAGGGAAGGGGAAAAAGAGGGGAGGGGAAGGGAAAAGGGGTAAAAAAGAAAAAAAAACTATGTCAATGTAAATGAGATATATACTTTGTTGCCTGATTTGAATAAAGAAAGGAAAAAATAAAAAATAAAAAATAAAAATAAAAAGATGACATCTTAAGAATGCTTGGACCTTACTGTAGCCTACTGCTTCTTCTGCATAAAAAAGGGTTATGCATGTGAAATGTTATGCATAAACTAAAGAGCTATTTAAAATAATTTAGATCAGACAAAAGTGTGGTTTTTTACTTGAATGTAAAAAAAACTGCAATACCACAATCACTTGGTTGTTTAAATTGGATATTGACATGTATTTCATTAAGTCTGATTTTTGTATTGAAACAACAGTTTAAGAATGCTAATCCATTTTTCTTTTTAATGCTGATAATCAAGGCCTTGATTATTAAACATTCACACTTCATTTAATGACCATCAGTAATTGTGACCATGTTTGTAGAAGCAGATGTTTTGGCAGTTTGCTGGTCCTGAGCATTCAGGAGTGTGTTAGCACAATACCAATGAGATAAATGTACTGCAAAACATTCCATATTGTATGAAACTGTTAGTGAGTTGACTGTAGCTGGATTAACCCATCCCTAACTGCTTGTGTGGATTAGTGGAATTCCTAAAGTTATTGACAGTAAATTTATTGTAAATGAATACTAACATTTAGGGGGGGAAATCCTGACAATATCTCTTAACTGGCTTTGTAGAGCACAGGATATCATTGGCTAAGGCAAAAAATCTCCTTGATCTCCACTGCATCATGTATGTGGGTTAAACAAGAGTATTTACAGTTGCACCAAATACAAACCTTGAGGTTCTGCAGAGCTTTTAAACTTGCTCATACAAAATTGTTGACTGGCAGATCCCAGAGAGTTGAAGCTACGGCAGAGCAGGGTGGAAAAATGCTTCACATGTGGTTGACTCAGAATGAAGGAGCTCCTGTGAACTGTGATGTTTAGAGTCTCACTGAATATTTCAAATCCACCAGACTGATTGACAGGTTCTCCATTCAAATACCACTGTACAGCAGGGGAAGGGTTTCCGTCAGTGTCACAGGAACAGTTAACTTGACTTGCAGTTTTAACACAATCTGATGAAAACAGGATCTGTGGAAGAACTGTCATTGAAAGAAAGTGAGAGGAGTCAGTAAAAAACAACCTTGATGATTGAAAAATTTTTGCAAAAATTACTAAAAAAAAATGAACTGACAAAGTGACCGGTAAAATGCTGTGTGTAAAGATGGTCATGTCTCAAACTGATCTGGAGATAACCAAAAATGTCAGAAAAATGGAAAACACTAATGTGTTGTTACAATTTCTAACAAAAATACAGTAGTATAATTAAATTTTGAGATACATACAATGAATCTCAAGCTGAGTCACATTAGAACGTTCAACTCCGAGCTTATTTTCAGCCTTGCAGAAAAATGTCCGTCTGTTTCTGAAGACTTGAATGTTTAAACTAGTTCCTGTTCCAATTAAAGTCTCCTGGTCTCCATCAGCTCTGTACCACATGTAGTTCCTCACTGCTGGGTTGGCATTACTGCTGCATGTTAGACTCACATTGCTGTTCTCTGGTACTGGACCAGAAGGACTGACTGAAACTGTGATGTTTTTAGGTGAATCTAAAGAACGAGTATTAAAAAATGAAAATTAGTTGTGTATTGTACATTGGGTATTACACTACCTGTCATAAAGCCTTATAAATTTATTTAAAAAGATAACATCTTAAGAATGCTTGCACCTTATTTTAGCCCACTGCCTAACTCTTCTGAAAATAAAGTGTAAAACAATGAAATGTTGCACATACACTAAAGAACTATTTAAGATCATTTTGATCAGACAAAAGCTGTGGTATTTTAGTTGAATCCAAAAAAAAGCAATAACACAATCACTTGTATGTAATGGATATTAACGTGTATTTCACGAAGTCTGATTTATGTATTAAAACAACAGTTTAAGAATGCTGTAACTTTTTAATTAAAAAAAATACACTGTTTCTATTTGCTGTGTATTGGAAAAACATGGTATATAAAACTCTGTTCTAATGATCTGACTCTTTAATGCTGGGTTATACTGATGATATGTAAAGCAGATGTGAAATGTGATATTTACACTGAACATCTATTTGAATGCTGCTGGAACGTCCAACTCCAATCTCATTTTCAGCATTACAGAAAAATGACCGTCTGTCTCTGGAGACTTGAATGTTTAAACTAGTTCCTGTTCCAATAAACGTCTCCTGGTCTCCATCAGCTCTGTACCAGTTGTAGTTCCTTACTGCTGTGTTGGCATTACTGCTGCAGGTCAGACTCACATTGCTGTTCTCTGGTACTGGACCAGTAGGGTTGCCAACCGTCCCTTAAAATACGGAATCGTCCCGTATTTAGAAACAAAAGTACACGTCCCGTATTGAGCTAATAAGGGACGCACTTTGTCCCGTAATACAGTGAGAATTAAAAGTAGTCTATAAATGTTTATGGAATTAACGCTTTGTTTGAAAACATAATTCTCGGCCCCTCTCCTGCTTTGTGACCAATGAGCTGACAGCACACTTATGACAATTCGAGTATGACAATTCAGATTACCGCTCATCTCATTGGTCGAGGAAAGGTCGCTTGCGGAGAAAATACCGGAAGACAACAGATGACCACAACAAGAAGCATGGCCAACAGGGGAACAAACGCCGACTCTGCAGTGCAAGTCTCGGATGACAGTACACCTAAAGCTGGGCAGACACTGTGCGATTTTTTTCAGTCACGTTATTCAGCTCCTGCTCAAACTGCACGATTGACTCGCAGGGGTTAGAAGTTCGTATGTCACGATGTACTCTCACACTATACCGCCCGATGCTCTGATGCGACCTGAGAGCTCACACTGTGCCTCCATAACATGAAGGTTATAACAGAAAATCTGTCGCTCTCTCTCTCTGTCTTTCACTCACACAGACACACCACCACCATCAACTTTGCTAAATTGCTAATGAAAAACATTGATCAGGCAGCTGTGATTGAGCAGCGATGTAGATCCAACTATTTTCACGGTTGTTGTGGTCGTGATAATTTTGTGATGCCACATCGAAAAGGCTCGGATGAGCTTTCCAAAGTTCTACAAGTTGTGCCTCCATCGCTTGTGTCCAGATCACACGCTGCACAGCCGTGCTGCTCCGTCTTTTTCACCAACGTTTACGTTTGCGCGTGAGCAGTGTGAGCGCCTGTGGTGACACCCTCACGAGCGATTGATGATCGGGAGCTGGTCGTGAGGTGTTAATCACTTCTCTTTACCCCACGTATACTACACGACGCACGATGAAGGCCAAAATCGGTCCGATCACTCAAAAATCGGCTCAAAATGGGCCAAAAATCGCACAGTGTGAGCCCAGCGTTAGAGCAGCAATGTTTGTTCCCCTCAGAGAAAGGGAAGAATGGGAAAAGGAAAACACCTGGCTGGAAAACGTTAATATGGGCATGTGCAGTGAATATCAGCGCTATGTGGCCAGAAGTGTGATAATATAATTTATTTTGTGTAATAAACAACTGCAAGGATAGATGATTACAACAAATTGATGATGTTAAGGTTCAAAAATTGAGGAAGGGTACAAGAGGTGATCGAAAAATAACCACACTGGTCCGGCCGGGTGAAGTCAAACGAAGATTTTAATTCACACGTGGGAAGATCACTGGAAACAGCAATTGATCTTCGACTTACTAAAGCACAAACAATTATTTTATAACATCAGGGTTTGTTTACTGACGCCCCTTCATGCGTCACAGATACATTTTATACATACGTCAAATCAACACCACAATGACCTTTTACACAGAACATCATCTTCTATTTTCATGGCTGGCACTTCCTGTGTACCTTTCAGTTCTTATCCTATTCCTCTTTCTTGCCGAGACACCAAGAAACGGTTCCTCTTTTACCGAGACAATTTTGCAGTTACAGCCAGACATAACTAACCTCTCCTCTAAATAAATCTAACTAAAAGTGTGTGGGTCACGACCTCACTCAGCCTCGATGTCACCTCTCGCACTTCTGACCTTTTACCAGACCAGAGGCTCACTGAGACTATGTATATGTCATCTGCTAAATAAATGTTTTAATCAAGAACCCCTACTAAAAACTTAATACAAGAATATGAACATATAAAAGATATTAAAATAAACTGATATAAGTGTTTTGTAAGCATGTATTGCAATTCCTTCTATGTTCTAGTTTTCCCTCAGCATGGATCATCTAGACACTCTCACTAGGTGAAGCTTTAGACCATTAATGAACCTGAACATCAACTCAAATAAGCACAGATATGCAATATGTATAAAATAGTTATAACTGCACCTGGAATACAAAATTAATATAATAACTTGTATGCATAAACATCTTAAGGCCATCTTAAAGCTATCTGTTACATTGTTAAAGCAATGATCATACTGCAGATTATATTATGCTGGTAAAATACTTTTTGTTCATCCCCACAATGACTAATACATAAAAGTAATACATAGATGAATAATGATGATGAGTTATGATGCGTAATCATGGGAACAAGCGGGTTTACAAACAGGAGCAGCTGATTAGCATTAGAAAAGCTGAAATAATACCTCAACTGAAGCCAATTGTACTAAATGCACTAAATGTGCACTGTTACAAGAATGTTTTTCTTTCTATTGTTTTCTATTATTTTAAGTTAAGCAGGACAGAGTTCTTTTAAAGAAAGATTTACTTATATTTTCAAAAGTTAAGCATGACAGGCTTCTGTTTAAGAAAGAGACCTGTTTTACTGTGTTAATGTTGTCATTTTGAGCTAAAAATAAATGGCTAAATGATCATTTGTTTCACATGTGTTCATATCACAAAGAATAGAATATGCATCTACTTAAATCAACTTCAAGTCAAATGGTTAAAAAAAAAATTTCACACACAAAAAAAGAGCTAGAAAATTCACCACACTGGGAAGGGTGAAGACAACTGGGTCGCCCGGCCCTGGCCACGAGGTGTCCCTTATTTATTTTTCAGGGAGTTGGCAACCCTATGGACCAGAAGGACTGACTGAAACTGTGATGTTTTCAGGTGAATCTAAAAAATAAGGAATCAAACATACAGATTAGTGGTGCACTGTATGTTGGGTATTACACTACCTATCATTAAGTCGTATGTGTGTATTTTAACAGTAACTTTGCATGTTTTCCCTGTGTCTGCGAGGGTTTTCTCCAAGTACTCTGGCTTCCTCTCACAGTCCAAAGACATACAGTTAGAGTGGTTAGATTGATTGGCCATTCTAAATTGCTCATAGGTGTGAATGTTAGTCTGAATGGTTGTCTGTTTCTCTGTTTTGGCACTGTGACAGACGGGCGATCTGTCCAGGGTGTGCTGCTCTTGCCCTGTTACGGCTGTGATAGTTATAAACACACTTCTAAACCTGGTGGAAAGTCTTCTCAGAAGAGTTGAAACTATTATAGCTACAAATAGTCGGCCTACATCATATCATACTCCATATTTTCCGCATATAAGGCACACTTAAAATCCTTTATTTTTCTCAGAAATTGACAATGCGCCTTATGTATGAATTCTGGTTGTGCTTACTGACCTCAAACAGATTTTATGTGGTACACGGCGCTCAAAAATCTGTCAAAAAATGTTTTTGTACGACTTTGTTAAGCTACCAAGCTGCACCGCTTGATGGACTGTTAGAGCATCACAGCTACTGTAGTTAGGAGCCTAGTGGAGTAATCTGGGTCCAGAACTCTGTCCGCTTCAGATCCCAAAGTTGAAGAACACTGCAACATCATTGAGAGTTATAAACGGTCTAAATTCTTTTGTCTTTAATAAAATTATCAGTGTTTCTGTTTTACCAGGTGTAACAATTAAGTTTAACATCCAGGCATCCATGAAAACAGAATTTATTAAATTTAACGCAGTTAGAAGTTAGCAAGAAGTTAGCTTGCTAGTTTCCACCTAAAGATGATATTACCATGTTCTGACTGAAAGATTTCTGAAAAAATTAAAACGTACAGCTCTGCCATCACTTCCAACATAAATGAAGACAGAACACTCAACCGCAGTGACTTTTGTAGGGTTACTGAAGTTGGACTATATAATGATGTGCTATGTGATTGCTAGCAACACAGCTATGTTAGCATAACATAAATGCAGTGAAGCTGGGGGATGAATGCTAACTTTGTTCCACTCGATAAAAGTTAATGTGAGGGTTCCCAAAGGTTAGGGAGAAATGCAATCGCATGACAGGATACTGTAAACAGACCAAACTTTAGTCAGGAGAACAACTGAGAGAATCCATCCACAATACGAGGTTACTCATTAATATACTGCAACAACATGGGAATAGAGTAGCTGCAAGAGAATTCAACATTAATGAATCAATGGTACAGAAGTGGAGGAAGCAGGAAGAATGAGTTGAGTAAAGTTTGACTTATCTGACCGTGTTGTTTTGCTTAATGCGCCTTATAATTCAGTGTGCCTTATTCATGAAAACAGACACGTTCGTCGACAGTGCACCGTATATACCAGTGCATCTTATAGTCCAAAAAAATACGGTAACCTTTTTTAAATTGAGAATCAAATGTCATTCTAGTTATATGTGGGTGGGCAGAGGGGCAAAGACTTTTGGAAATGCTGTGTGTATGCTTTTACTTTTTTATGCAAAAATGCATTGGTTTTTTATTTCTAGACTATTCAAAAAGCTCAGTGTGTAAATTCCAGTTCTAATGGTCTGAATCCTTGATGCTGGGTTATACTGATGATATGTAAAGCAGATGTGAAATATGATATTTACACTGAACATCTATTTGAATGCTGCTGGAAGGTCCAACTCCAATCTCATTTTCAGCCTTGCAGAAAAATGTCCGTCTATCTCTGGAGACTTGAATGTTTAAACTGGTTCCTGTACCAATAAACGTCTCCTGGTCTCCATCAGCTCTGTACCAGGTGTAGTTCCTCACTGCTGGGTTGGCATTAGTGCTGCAGGTCAGACTCACATTGCTGTTCTCTGGTACTGGACCAGAAGGACTGACTGAAACTGTAATGTTTTTAGGTGAATCTGAAAATTAAGGAATAAAACATACAAACTAAAATGTTAAGACAGTTTTCTTTGCAGAAGTAGTGTTTATAAATTGGGTACAATGCCTTTAATATATATTTTTTCCCATTAAATTAATAACTCATACACATCTAACACCAAACAGGAGAGAAGGGAGCAAACCGCACACATTTACTGATTTTTTCTTTAATCAAGAAAATTTGTAGAGTGATAGTAAGAAGTTGCTTTGGCCCTTTCTTTCTAAATACTGATGTATCCAATAAAAATGATTTTTCTTTGTCTTTTTATTGACTGACTGAACAATGCAACTTACAGTCACTTCACCAACTTTATACTTCTTTTTACTGAGTGTCAAAAACTACCCATTCATCATCTTCCAGGGGGGTTGGAGCCTAGTCCAAATGCCACTGGGTGAGAGGCAGTGTACACTGACACAGACAGTGATTCTGTCCTGTGGGCAATTTTAGAATCTCCAGTAAACCCACCCCTCCTTCTGTGGGTGGGAAGAGAAACACCACATAGAAAGGCTCCAGCCAGATGGTGGACTTTTTTGATACTTCTTTTTCTCTGTGTCTTATTTTGAGTTTGGTCCCCATGGAAATGATAAATGCCCTGGTTCTTACATACCGCTATTGTACTCAACTTAAACCGCTTCATACAACATGCCTCATCCTTCACCTAATTTATGTTTAAGTGTTTTCTGATTAAAATAACAGAGAAAGTGTTTTGTTCATCAGACATGGACCCGTACAAAGCCGCGTCATATAACGTGCGGAGGGCGGTGAAAGAGGCGAAGCAGCGCTACGGGAGGAAACTAGAGTCACAACTCCAACAGAGTGACTCTAGGAGCCTGTGGCGGGGACTAAGGACAATAACGGACTATAAAGCACCAACAACCGGTATGACGAACGCGGCCGTGACTCTGGCAGACGAGCTGAACACTTTCTATGCTCGCTTCGAGGCTGCAGCTAAGGTCTCCAACAATGCTAGTGTTGGCGGCGCTAACGGCTGCAGACAGGAAGATACTGCCAGCACCGGAAACGTGCTCGTCATCTCCGAGCATGAAGTAAGGAGAGCCTTCAAAAGAGTGAACACCAGGAAAGCAGCAGGACCAGACGGCATCCCAGGTCGTATCCTAAGAGACTGCGCATACCAGCTAGCTCCTGTGTTCACTGAGATATTCAACATCTCTTTATCTCAGTCGGTGATCCCCACATGCTTCAAAGAGTCCATCATTGTTCCTGTCCCGAAGAAACCCCACCCTGCTTCTCTCAATGACTATCGCCCTGTAGCCCTCACCTCAGTAGTGATGAAGTGCTTTGAACGCCTGGTCAGAGACTTCATCATTTCTTCACTACCAGACACACTGGACCCACTACAGTTCGCTTACCGTCCAAATCGTTCCACAGACGATGCCATCTCTCATCTCCTCCACACATCACTCACTCACTTGGACACTAGAAGGGGGAATTATGTTAAAATGCTCTTCATAGACTACAGCTCTGCATTTAACACCATAATTCCCTCCACACTCACCACCAAGCTGGAGCATCTGGGACTCAGCTCATCTATGTGTCAGTGGATCTCCAACTTCCTAACTGGCAGACCACAGGCAGTAAGGATGGGCAGACATGTCTCAGCCTCCACCACTCTCAGCACTGGAGCCCCCCAGGGGTGTGTTCTGAGCCCCCTGCTGTACTCTTTGTACACATATGACTGTGTGGCCACTACCAGCTCCACCACCATCATCAAGTTTGCTGACGACACCGTCGTGGTGGGCTTGATCTCTGATAACAATGAGACGGCCTACCTGAAGGAGATTAGGAATCTGGAGAACTGGTGCCAGAGGAACAACCTCCTTCTAAACGTCAGTAAGACAAAGGAGCTGATAGTGGACTTCAGCACTAAGCAGGAGAGGAACTACCAGACCCCCGTCATCAACGTAATCTGATACTGTGGTTTTGTTTGAAACCACAGTCTGTATTGTTACGAATAGTCAGAGTTTTTCTAAACAAAACCACAGTATCAGATTACGTTTCCCTGCTGCTATTTCTTTCAATGTCATTGCAGTTCTGTTTTCTGTCCTTCAGACACACTACTGTCAAAGTTATTACTGGTAATCAACTTTTGGATTCAAAATGCACAGCCCAACAACCAACAGAGTGCTACTCAACAAGTTTTATTAAAAAGTTTGGGGTTTTTTTAAATAAAATTTAATAAAAAAAAATCAAAGCAGCAAAGACTTGAGCCCAAGGAAACACTGGGGTTTACAAGATTCAGTTCAAGTGGTTGTTCTGTCTGAAGAGGTGAAAGTGGTAAGCTGGAGCAGAGGTTAGTTTAAATAACTTAATCTTTTTTAGTAGTTACTTGATACTTTCCAGAGAAAAGCAACAATGTAGGATTAGACTGACAAGAGTTCCTCAAGGCGGTGGAAGGTGGACAGGCAGGTATGTATTACACGCAAGTTTCCACAGTTTTCTTCTCAAGGAATGTGGCAGAGAGCGGTGGCTCAAGCTGGTCCTTGAAAACCCAGTTACTACTTATCAGATAGAAGGGAAGTGTGACAAATGCAAAGCGTGAACTTGGAAGCTACACCAATAGGCAGAGTCCAGAGCAACGGCCATAGATAGGCCAAAAAAATTAATACATAAAAGGCCACAGAAGAACCCCAAATCAGCACCAAACCATGACAATCAAACCCTTCTCTGTCCAAAACTTTCTGCGTTTGCTATGTCAACAGTAGCTATAATGTTCCTCTGCATCACACTAAACAGAAAGTTTCTCACTCCGTAACAAAAAGTCAAATAAAATACATCATGTACATGTCTATACTTATAGATACCTAGGAATATCTATTACTTACATAGTAATAGTAGTGGTAGAATAGTTAAATTTATGTCTTGCATATTTCCACAACCCTCTATCCATAATCACATACTGTGTATGCTACCATTGTATATAGTGTATTATTACTTATTTTGTATTTGTTTGTATTTTATTTGTATTTTTGTATTTTTTTTCTTCTGCTATCTGTACCTGAGCTGAGATAACGCACAAATTTCCGCACTGTGGGATCAATAAAGCCTTATCTTATCTTATCATATCTTATCTTGTCATTATTTGGTGCATGTTACTACTATGTCAAGTGTAGCTGTGTGGCAGGCAGGATGAGGACCCAAATAAAGGACAGGATGAATGAAAAGAGGCAGCTTTATTGCTGTATACTTAGAAACACAAACTAAATAGAAAACTCAGAAACTAGAAACTAAGAACTGGAAACAACAAACAACCCCTTATCCTAACACTAGGTGGTAGTGTGTTCATATGCTAGCTCTGAGCTGGAGACTTCTAATTGTTCAGCAGTGTCATGGATATGATTATGACTTGTTTGCTGGCTTCCATATATATAAGCTAAAAACTAGTCACAATTAAAATTAATTGCTGAATTAACTTTGACTGTTATGACAATTAGCTAATAGTAATATTGTGTGTTGACATGAATAGTCAGATTTTTTCGGTCCCCGGTGTCTTTTCTTTAAATGTCATTGTAGTTCTGCTTTCTGCCTTTCAGATCCACTGCTGTCAATGTCAACAACCAACAGAGCACTTTATTCATGAGACTCACAAAATGCATACTGATTCCACTGTCGTGGTGTAGAGACATAAATAAAAAAAAATGTCTTTGACAACAAATTATGGAAAAATTGGAAGTTTTATTTGAAAAATACGTTTTTTATTTGTATTTTAACAACAAAGAAAGTGAATGGATGGCCTACCTTGTAAACAATAATAGAAACATTTTCTTGTGCATTCTGCTTTCTTTCCATTCTCTTGTTATTTTTTTTTAAATGAATACAATTTATTTTTCTTTAATACGTAAAAAGAAAAGATTTACAGAAACATTAAATAAATTTGTCATTCGAGCTGAATTTTACTTTCAGCTCAGAGTTTCTGTGATGTTGAAGAATTTCTTCTCTCTTTGGTGTGAAACATGTGGACACTAGAGGGCAGTGTGTTGATTTATTAATTCCAACTGAGTTTGGAAAAGAACCGACTTCTAAATTATCACACTGACACTTAAAAACACTTAAAAATCATTGTAATTATGTGAATCTTGTAATATTAACTAATAATAGTATTAGTTGTATTTAGAGTCCAATTGACCATTCAAAAAATGTGCAGGTACAGTGTTGTCAGTCATAAAAGTTTCATCACAAAGAACATACTAATCTATTAAAAATTCTCTCAGGTTCAATGACAATTTAAACATCTAAAGCATGTTATCAGGTTGAAATTGTTAATTCTCCAGATGATAGAGCAGTATTACAGGTGGTTTTAAATTATTAATAAACCTGTCTGGGTTTTTAGGATCTACTTTCACAACTTGAAGTCAGACCGTAAGATTTTTTTTTTTTACGTGTTTATTTCTTTTTTTCTTTTTCTTTTTTTTACGGAAAAGAAAAAAAAAACACCAACACATCCACACACACACAAAAAAAACATATTTTCACTCAATTACCCACAGATATAGAAAGAGAAAAAGATAAACTCCAAGAATGAATTGTCCCTTACATTTACTTCCTATTTAACTGAGAACATCTTAATCGCAACCACCCCCCCTCAACAGTTGGGACAAATCATTTGGCAAATAAGAAAGCAAAGGGGACCAAACATTGAGAAAGAGACCCTCATTTCCTCCTAAAATAGCGGCAGTTCTTTCGTGAGGAATAACTTTAAATAATTCTCTGTACCACAACAGAGGGAGGTTTATCCTTAACCCAATTAATGAGAATACATTTCCTAGCTACCAGCAATAGTTTGTCACATAATTTGCGCTGCAAGTGATTCAATGTTACTTCTTTTGAGGGTAGGCCAAGAAGAAAATACCCGGGGTCTCTTTGAATCAGATTGTTAAAAATATTACTTAGTTCTTGAGATATGAAGCTCCAAAATCTTTTGATTAATTTACATTCCCAAAAGTAATGAAAAAAAAAGTGCCAGTTTCTTTTTGACATTTACTACAAAAATGGGAAATATGAGGTGCAATCTTCTGCAAGACATTAGGAGCTATATAAAGGCGATGTATGATTTTGTATTGGGTTTCTCGCAAGCGGTTGCAAGTGAAAGTGGAACTACTCATGTTAATGGCTCCTTTCCGTAAGATTTAATGGTTGAGATGGTTCATTTCTGTGTGATCATTTTCCTCTAATCACTTCTGTAGAATAGTTCAGTAGCTCCTCAATCTTCGTCTGAAGCTCTTTGGCTTTCTCTGCATTCGCCCCCTTTTCCATTGTCCCTGCCACCTGGAGCCCCCTCAGCACTGACTGCAGGGCATCCGCATTCTTGACGGAGTCCATCTGGTCTCTGTCAGTCCGGATCTCCTCCACCCAATCCAGGTATGCCTGAAGTAACCCAAGGTCATCCACAAAGTTTGCAATGATCCTGAGTTCCGGCCGACGTTTCTCCAGTTCCTTCAGTCTTCTCCTCCCAGTTGCTCCAATGTCATTTCCAACAATGCTGTACAATGAAGAAATCACTGGTTAACAGATTTTTGGACATGCCTTTTTACAACCCTCAGCTATTATCTAACATTTAAAAAAAAGGAACCCAGATTAAAGATGGCAGTGGTATAACATGGAGTGCATTGGACACATGCAGATTTATTTTTTAATCTTACGTCAGTGTCTTCAGAGAAGTGTTTTTGCTGAGACAGTTGACGATGTTTTCTGTTCCTCTCTCTGTGATGCCGGTGATGTCCAGATAAAGTTCCTCCACAGTGTTGTTGTTCTCCAAAGCATTCCACAGCTCCAAACCCCCCTCAGGACCCAGGTTGTTGCCGCACATACTGTACACAGAAGCAGGAAACATATTCTGTGTGTGCTGCTTATATCAAAAAATGTCAAGGGGTCATGGGGAAAAGCATTTTTTGTGGCAATCAGAAACAGAATTTCTACAAATCTCACACTACTCACCAGAAGTGTCATTATCCTATAATTGGAAAGCATCAGCTTAAGCAAAGTTTTAATTGGTTGCTTGCTTCCATTAATTCTCTGCTAGTTTTCTGAGTTCAGGACACATTAATTGATTAATCACACTATAACTAAATATATTAAATTGCATTACAATTTTATGTATATGTAGGGTGTATGTGCAAAAGAGTTTGAGAAATAAAGCTAATCTTTAATTAGTTTGTCTTGGCCCCTGAGTTTTGCCTTTCAGTTACACCTTTAGTGTTTTGGATGCTTGGCCTTTAGTTTTTTCCACTTTTCAAATCTAATTTCGGTAAGTCTCTGGAGTTTATTTGTGTCAGATTCTTTGTATTTTGATTTATTTCCCAAGCCTCCTCCAATATCCCTTTATATGTCTCTTGTCTGTGCATCTTTATTTAGTAGTCTTTATTAGCTGGATGGATGGGTTTAATTATTGTTCCTAGTTTTTAATTTATTTCTAGCTAAGTTTTAGTTCCTGATTTGTTTTTGGTTTTATTCGTATACCTTCCAGAGTTTTGAGTCTTTTTTAAAATCCTGTTTTACTTCATTAGATTCTCTCTCTTGTGTTTATCTCAGTGATGTTCAGCTATGTTTAGTTTCCCTCCTGTTTCTGTGTCCAACCATGCCCGTGTTTTCCTTCGCATCATACTGTGTTGATAGTTCATGGTGCGGTCACAGTTTTTTCTCCAGCGCTCTTCTTTTCTGTAAGGTTTGTGTTTAGGATATTATCACCTCTAATAAGGGCTTGTTTTTTGTTAACTTACTGTCCAGTCTGAATTTGAGTCCAGTCATCCTGCATTTCACAATGCAGCTATGCAATATTTCTATGATAAATATGTTTTTGGACTACTTTCCATGTAAATGGCTAAAACATAACATTTAAGTCAGTCACACACTGTAGGTTCTAAAAAATAATTTTCACCTGAGTGTTGAATATTTTAAATGACTTACAAGAGCTTCTTCACTTGGCACTCATTTGATTTCAGAATAGCAGATTCTAAAATAGCTGCTTGCTTATCCAGGCAGTTGTATCTCAAACTGAAAGAAAGAAACTTTTGGTTAACATTGTTTTTGGCCGTCTTACATGTAAGGGGGTTTGGGTCCATCCCAGCATGCATTAAACAGAAGGCAGGGTTCACATCCATCACAGAGCTAACACACATAGAGAGAAGCATGCAGACACGGGGGGAATATGCAAGCTCCCCACAGAATGGCATCAAACAGCTGGAAAGCTCAAACCCCAACTTATTTTTATTTTATTTTAACTGCAATATATATTTTTAAGTGAATATAAAATGAGCTACTCACTAGAGAGATTCACATCGATGTAGAATTGGTCTCAGTCTGTTGAGTCCTTGGTTTCCGATGTTAGAGTAGCCCAAGTTGAGCTCTTGCAGCTTGTGTGGGGAAAACTGCAGCACGTAGTGTATCGCTGCACAGTCCACAACACTGAGCTTCATTTTAAACAGGTTGAGTTTTGTGATCTCTGGTGCTGCAAAGCTAGTGGTTTCCTTCATGTGGAACTCCATCAGACAGTGGAGAAGATTTAGGGCTACCTGGTTTTCCAGCTCCCTGGTTTTGAACTGATCTCGGAACCACAAACCGAGCCTGTTGGGGATGCTGTCCTCTTGCTCGATGGGAGAATGCACAAGACCTTCTAAATGACCTGACAACCGTGCTCGCAGCATTCCCATGAAGAAACGTGTGAACATTTGGAGACTTTCGAGCTTATCCACGCTAAGGTGTAAATTTTGAAGGGGTGGAGCAGTAGAGGACGATGGACGTACCCCGAAGCACCAAAAGTCAAGAGCTTGTATTATGTCGTCCTGGCTGGAGAGGTTGATTGCACAGTACAAGGCAGCTAGATGTTCTTGAACAGTAAGGTGGAAGAAAGAAAACATCTCCACTGTCTCCTCTTTAATAGGCTGGAGGATATGACAGAGGAAGGTGCTCTGAACATCAGCAGGTGTGACACCGTAGTTCTCCAAATCTGCTTTATCAAACAATATCTTCTTCTGTAGAAGGTTTTCATAAGCCAGTTTCCCCAGTTTCATCAGTTGTTGTTTAGCTAGGCTAAGAACCTCTGATCTAGGTGTGCTTCTCTCTGTCCTCCCTTTTAGTCCATGGTGTTTGACTGCTGTAAACAAATAGCAGAAATAAACCTCGCTGACTGTTCTGGGTGGGCTTAACTCCAGAGACTTCGATTCACCTGCATTGTTAGGCTGTGAAGAGAAGAACTCAGCCATAGCGGTACAGATGATGTAGCAATAAAGAGGGATGAAGGAAAGCACAAATAGGTTGTCATTGTTCACAATGTAATCATACACCTTTTGAGCAACTTCACTGTCTTTGTAAAACTTGGTGGTGTACTCCTTCACCTGGTCCTCCTCAAAGCCCAGCACCACACAACATCTCTGGAAGAAACGCTTGGGAGCTTCTGTAGATGGCCTTGTTGTAATTATGACTGATGCTTCTGGAAGAAGGCTTCCTTTTATCAAAGCCACCATCAGCTCTGACACCAGAACGTTTGATTTTACATCAATGTTTTTGTCTGGTCTGTTCCAGTCCAGAGGGGATTTAAACTCATCTAAACCATCTAAGATGAAAAGCAATGATCTTGGTGTGGTGAGCAGGTCAGGTAGAGCCTCCTTTAGGTATCGGAACCGTTGTTCAAGAAGCTCCAGTAAACTCAGTGGTTTATCAACTAGATTGAGCTCTCTGAAGCGTAGGTCAAAAATGCAGGTGAATTCACGCATGTTCTTCCCAATTGCCCACTCGTAGACCAATCTCTGTACTGCCACACTCTTTCCTATACCTGCAATACCCTTCACTTTCACCCTTTTAGGGGCTCGTCCCAATGCTTCTTGGGGGCTCAAAAGATGACCGGGCCGGATACGCTGGCAGGCCTGGTGGACATAGATGCGAGCACGTCTGCCCGCCAAGGCAAAGTACTCATGTTGGCTACTGTCAACTAAGTCATTGTCTTCTGTCACGAAAAGGTCAGTGTAGCGGATCTCGATGTGAGAAGCTGAGTTTGAAGCCTCCCTGTTTCCCTCTGAGTAACATTTTAACTGCTCTGTGCGTTTCAGTAAGGTTGTTTTATGGGCAGAAATTGAAACTGGAATAGAAGATAAAGATATTTTTAAAAAACTAAATTACATTATTCTGCAGTGTTTTATAAGATAAAGATTGTGGCTTCTTGAATTCAGTTGACCTGTTTTCATCCTACCTCGGATGCTGGCCAACTTTAGACTTCTGCAAGATTTTGGCTCTTCCTTAGCTGCAATATGAAAGTCAGATCTCCTTACTTGATTGCAAGCACAGGAATCAAATCACGAAAAATTGCATTTGCCTAATGTCAGTTTACATTTTAAATTGACTGATTATGTCCATTTCCAGCTCTATATACATTTTTTTATAGACTCAAGTAGAGAAGTTTGTGTGATTAACAGTTCAGAATAACCCTTTTTTACAGTATAACGGTAAATCAAGGCATACATTCAAATTCATACACATATTCCATATACAGCAAAAAATGAAACCAGGAATTATAAATTTAAAAAAACAGGACAACATTTATTGCTTATCTCTATAAAGAAAACATACCAGAAATAACGTACACTACTATATAATTCATATGTAAACATTTTTTTTGATGAAACAATGAATTCATACCATTAACGTCAGTGGTGAGGGTGAATCCTTTGCTCTTTGCTTTAAACAGTTTAGCAATGGGGTTTTTGGACTTCTTGTCTGTTGAAATCATAGAATAATTTATAGTTATTTTATATGCATTTGTTTAAAATGTCAGATTCACAGGTAACTCTGCTGACTGAGCATTTTCATATCCCTGAGTCTCATCATCAGGGAACTATGAATACCTGATCCAAATATCCAAATCACTGACACATTTTAACTTATGATAGTTGAGCTCAATGTCCATTATCTCTTAAAACTCTCACCAAAGTAAAAAAAAAAAAAAAAAAAATCCTGGCGAGGCATCAAAGCTGATTGTACCCTGCATCTAATCTTCTTTCATGTCTTTCCTCAATAGGTTGTAAAAGTTGTCTTCTATTAACAGCCCCTCACGATCAGCTCAAGGTTGCAAAGAAGATTAACTTCAGTTACACCTGTTTATGTAAAAACCAGCACATTAAAGCAGCCTCACCTTCAACTTTCACAGATGTAGGTGCTGATTTAGTGACTGCATCGTTCCTGCAGTGTCTCTCGACCCAGACCTGCAGGTCTCTGCAGTAGTAATCCTGCACTTCCCTTAACACCTGCAGGAACTTTTGGCTGCTGTCCTCTGTGGCACACACTGTCTCCAGTGCCTTTGCCACAGCATTGGAAGGCGACCTCTCCAGCAAAGACAGGTAGCAGGCAGACGAAAGCACCTCGGCATCACGGAGCCAACGCAGCAAGGGCGCTGGATGGTCACATGTCCACTTCAGCAATAAGTCTCTCTGAGAACGGAGCAGCTGCTGAGCTGAGCTCATAACTTCTTACAATAGTGCTGACCCCCAAAGCAAAAAAGTAATCAAAGCTTTAAATGAATTGTTACTGTATTCAGTAATATAAGAGAAGACCCAAACTTTGATGTTTCAGTTCTCACACATATACCAAACTGCATTTATGCACATGAACAACAATAAGGATTTCTGTACAAACGGTACCATTCTCAACACATACCTTATCCGTGCACTGTAGTATCTTTACATTAAGCTGTGGTTTTAATCCACATCTGGTGTTGCCATTGCAGTCTTGAGTTTTGGCACGAAGGCAGTTTGCAGTCTGTTTTAAGGAGCAGGGAGGTGCAAGCAGCAATTCAAACAAGCTTTGAAAGGGTCCAGAGTTCAAGCAGTTAAAGCCTTTGTACCCGACTCTGATTACTTGGTTTTGTTTGAGCCTGAAGAAAAATTTATCTCAAGGTGATAATGACAATAACTGCAACAAAATGGAAACAAATTTAAAATAAGTTATAAAAGTTGTTCCACATGTAGTCTGTGTTGAATATCTGCTCTGTCACTACACACTGCATGGAAATGAAATTACTCATATTAATATATTTAGTCAGATCATTTTAAAAGGTGTTAAATAAAGACTAAGTGCCCTAAAATTATTTATGCCAAATTCAGTTTACGAAATATGTCTCAATGTACGATAATAGAGAAAACAATTCTTATTTAATCTAAGGAGCTTGGAAATAAAAGCGTCTGGACTTCTTTAAGACGCTTTTCTTTCCAAGTTCCTTAGACTGCGATGACCTGGATGACTGAGAACCTTCACAGACAATTCTTATTTAAATGCTTCAACTTCATAAAGTTTCAATATTACACTTTCCCCCTTCATCCGTGATGACCTACTTACACACCAACACGTTCTCACTCCCAACTCGTCAAACGTGTGACGCATGGTCAGGCTCCCTCTGCTGCACTTATGGACGCGCAGGGTACCCCCCTCGCGTCGGGAATTGACGTGAAGGGTCCTCCGATTGAAGAGATTGCCGCGGAAGAGCCTGTTGTCGGTATATTTATATATTTCCGAAATCACTTTGTAGTGACGTATACTGAACACAATAAATTATATAATGTAAACAACTACCTGAAAAACAGGTAGAACGATACTTTTGTATGGTTTATTGCATTTGTGGAGGGAGTGATGTATGCTGGGTAATGGCACAGCTAGCTACTGGGTGACTTTATTCACCCGCTTCGGCTGTTATCAGTCCACACAATGGGCGTTATTAGCACAAATCAGTCCCATAGATATGGGCCATCTCCTGCTAGATTGTTCAGAAGGTTGTTCTCATCCATCCAGATGGAGGATCACTAACAGGAGCGTGGAAGACTCCAGAATCCACTCTGGCTACTATCCGGTGGATATGCAGTGTTTACAGGTAAGACCGTTTAAACGGACAGCATTTATAGAATGACTATTAAAAGTCAGCGAGTGTCAGTAATGTTAATGTGGTTATGTTAGTAATACACAGAGTGCTAATATAACAGCTTTAAGATGCATTTGTAGATGTTATTACGTGTTTTACCGTCTTTATGGTGCTAGCTTAAAGTTACGGTGTAAACGTTAGCTTATATTGGAGGAAAGCTGTTACTGGTTAAACGATGTTAGCACAGAAATATTAGCTTCTGTCATGACTGATGAAGTTACTAGTTAATAAAGTTTCCAGTAAAGTGTTTAATCGCAGCCACAGACTGACAGCAAATATCTCGATTAGCTTCAGTGCATCTATAATAAATATGTGCAAGTTTCAGTGCTTCGTTTAAACTGTATGATACTTATACTGACCCAGGGTCAGTGTAAAATACAATCCCAGCTGTGTGAACAAAGCCTGGCTCCTTTAATCCTGCATGACAAACCTCAGGATGCAGGTTATTATTACTCTTTCCTGCTGGCACACCTGTCACACCTGAGAGTCAGCTAGAAACTTACAGTGACGTGGACATCATGCAAAGACTGCCAGACTCTGTAATACTGCAAATGATCAGTGACTCAGGTTAACACTAAACTTTAAACGGCACCTCTGTGTCTCTGTGTGCTGAACATCTAGGATTGAGTCAGGCTGCATCAGCTGAAGCTGTTATTTGTATATATCAGTATTTTTTATTCAGGTGTGGGGAAAATACGTAAGACTGCAGTGAAGCGATGCACCAGAGTAATCCCTGGCCAAAGGTATCGTACTCAAATCAGACTACTGATCCAGCCACATCAGCCTTTTGTGAGGTCTGTTTAAAGTTGACTAAAAGTCAACTGCAGGTTCCTGAGAGGTGGACTGTGAGCACAGAAACACATGTTCATACATACAGCTGCAGCAAACTTACATTAATTTTAAATAGATTTGTTACTCTGATGTCTGTCTGTGTGTTAGTCCTCTGACAGACTGGTGACCTGTCCAGATGTGCTCTACCTATGACTACTGGGACAGGCTCTAGCTCCTGTAAAAGAAATTTTCTGTTATTCTCATTTGAAGTATTTAAGTGCTTATGCATATGCTTAGTTGTGACACTGTTACTGTTCAGTGAAAGTTTCTAAAACTAGATGAACTTACTTCAGCGTCAGCAGTTTGAGAAAACAACTCCCTTTACAGGTGCTGATAAGGCCAAGGGCACAAAACAGCACAACCATTGATGCGTTAGGTTTCATAGCGAGACATGTGAAGTGTGGTAGGATCAGTTTAACTTCCTCCCTCTTCCTTGGAATGCATAAAGGAGGAGGAGCACAACTTCTGTGGCAGCGCTGACATGACTGAACTGTGATGTTTGATGTGTGTCGGCGCAGTAATAAATAGCTTGATCACAGCTCTTTCTGTGTTGCAGACTTTATTTAAAAAATTCCACGACACCTCCCCCCCCTCCCACTGTGAACCTGAATTGAATATTCAGAAGACATTTGTTTAAATAGTTCTAGAAATCGGAGCTGTTGGTGTGTCCTTGGATTGTGTGGTAATAATATTAGAGCCTGCAATCTTTCTTACTGAATCTCTACTATGAGTCATGTTACCTGAGATTAATTCTATGTTTACCTGTCAGCCTGGACGAATGTGCTGTGTGAAGGAAATTAAATTAAATCAGATCTGAACTGCGTACATTTAAGGAACCTGTTAATATTTAATTGAAATATGAACCAGTGATTTTTTGATTGCTGATTCCAAGAGAGTCTTTAATTCTCTTCTCTGTTTTCCAGAACAGTTCTCCACAGTCGCTGTCCACATGGGTCAGTGGGACCAAGAAGCACTCTGCTAATGTGGGACTCTGACCAGCAACATCCAGCAGGACCCAGACAGCGTTTTCTATCTCCCAGCTGGAGTTTTTGTTTGTCTGTGACTAGAGAGTCAGATTTTTGTTGAGCTTCACACTTGCAGAGTTAAGTCAGTTTGCAGAGATCCCTCCCACCCTGGCTTTTATGTGCTAGATTTCTTATCTGAAACCACCACAGGTTAACACAGGCTACTGATCCCTGATGGGAGAATCATCAATTTTGGCAACAAAGAAGCCTGGTGGATGTTTGTTTACAGTCTGATGATGGGACATCATGCTCTGCATCTTCAAAGTTTGCCTCCTCATTATTATTCATACCCAGTAATGTGAAGTATGCTCATATCTACTATAACTGAACCAACCTGGTGCTCTTCATTTATGGAGGCTGTTGAGTCTGAATGTTGGATGTTGTGTATCTCGTGTTCTCTGGGCTTTGTTGTCCTCAGTCTTTTCGCAGGATCAGAAAACAAAACCAGGAGGCGCGTAAATGTTTCTTCTCCATGATGTTTCTTCAAATGTTTTTTCTGGATGATGATAAGACTGTGACACGGGATGCCACCTTTGGTCTTGTGATGAAGCAAAGCTCAGGAAGAAGTGTGATTAAATGGTACCCACATGTGTGCTGCTGAGAAGGATGTACAGGGGCACCTGCAGCCAAATCCAAGCCTCAGGTTAGTTGTAGTTGCAGAACGCTATAGACTGAGACAGCTGAGGCATCAAATGTTTGATTAAACGGATGAAAAAGAGAAGTTTCTTCCCTATAAATATCACTTCTTAAAATCTGTAGCAACTTCAAGTCTGTCAGCGTGCTGAGCATGCTCAGAATGTGACAATATATTTTTGTTCAATATTTAATTTCTTTCAGTTGCAATTGATAAATGAAAAAATATATATATTCTTATAATTTAGCAAACTAATTTATCAAAAAAAATATACATATAGCTGTATTAGTTTTAATAAATTAATTTGACAGCTGTATTGAAAATACCATATTGTATTCATACAGAATCAGTTTGGTATCATTGTTTGTCTGATTGCTGAAACTAAGAGCTACTTTGATCTGTTTAGATCTAAAGTATCCAAAGTTGAGCTCTGATGTTTCTTCACCCCTGTGTGTGTGATATGTGATTTCCTACATGCTGGCAGAGCAGAGCAGCAGTTTGTGCTCACAGATGGTGACGGTGTGGAGAGATGGTGGTGTTTCCTCAGAAGAACCAGCAGAGTCACTTGCTGACTGATGTTCGTCTGCACTGCACAGAGGAAATCAACTGACCGAGGTTTGTCCAGTGACGTGTTATGAAATGTATATTTGTTTTATGCTTACAGTTATGTTTTTCTTGACAGAGGCTCTGCAGAGGTTAGACAAAGCAGAGAAAACATGTGCTTTACATTTTACTGTGATTTATTGAGATATTTGTTGCCTGATGTTCAGCAGGAATGGAGAAATAGAATCAAAGGGAGATGTTTTTTATGTTTTTGTAATGATGTAAGTAAATCTTCAATATTATTTATTTGCTTGGTTATATTAGGAGTGTTTCTGAGTGAGGGGGAGAGGAGTCATCATCCAGGTAAAGTGACGTGGATCAGTGGATACACTTGTCTCCCCTTTAAAGGAGACGATCCAAGTCATCCTTAAATGTTAGTGCTTTCAAATACACAAACATTTTTAAAGGACAAAAATGAACATCCAACTTTGACTGTAACACAAAATAAATCTTTGCATGTGTGTTTTCAAACTCTCAGATGGGCAGCATATCAGTCTTGGACTGTCTAACCTGCCGGAGCAGCACTGAATGACCACCGCACGAGCATGTTCCTGCAACATTCAGCATCTGATCCTTCATCTGTGTGCTTCTGCTTTTGGTAAGTAGAGTTACCCAACTCCAGTAACTCTAAACACATGCCATCAATTTCTGACGGCCTGGTTACTTCCTGTCAGTTACTTTAGAAACCATGTGGTCACCTGACCTAACACTGTTTCTTCTTCTTCCCCTTAATGTTCAAGTGTCACATGTCAAACAGCTGGAGAGGAAACTACACCAGTGTACTGGGATGTTTCACCAACACGTGCCAGATGCTGTTCCTTCATGGTGACATCACCAGAGACAGCCCCGCCCACCTCAGGACCTCGCCATTGATCATGATGATTATAATGATGACAGCGAGCGGAACTAAGACTGTAAAAATCCACAACCAGAATGTTTCTTTCTAATTATGAATGAATACTGAGAGCCTCTTTCTGTGTTTTGTCTGTTTTGTTTTTTACCTCATTTGTTTCTAACAAAGTTCACAAACTCACACAGTTTACATTCTGTATGTTTCCATCTTTACCAGCCACTCTAACTGCATTTAAGAAAATAATCCTTAGAAATCGTCATTTTTCTCTTTTGTAATTGATGATAATTCAGTGAATATACTGCGCTGCTTCCTTTTATTGCATCACACATTCCTTTATGTTTTTCAGTGTCCAGTTATTTTTTACTGCTGTTTGAATTCTCTGTATGTTTGACCCTGTAGACAGTTTGATGGACTGCTTGTCTTCCTGTTTGTAACCGCCGCCTGTTTTTTAATAAAGATTTGGATTTCTGACTTCAACACAGCCTCTGTGTGTCCTCCCTTTGTGTCCTCTTCCTCTGTGAATGTGTTGCATGTGTCACAGATTCATTTTATTAACAGCTTTCCCACAGTGAGTTGCATCAGCATTCATTCACAGCACATTGCAGAAGGATTCAGATTAATACAGTGATCTTATGGTCAGAATCATCCTGACAGAGTGCCACTGTAAATGATCTTTCATCAGGTAAATTTTAAAGTTCAGGGGCAGGAGTTATGAAGAATCATACTGACATTAGGACTAATAATATGTACTTACAAAGTCAAAGTTTTTTAATTATGCTAGAATACTGGAAGACAATCAACTTTTAGTGTTTTCCGCATATTAATTATTCTGAAATAGAGACGGTGACTCTAACTGTACAGAAGCACTAAACAACTGACAATCTAACAGACATCATTGGCCTGAGCTGTCATGCACAGTGAGTCTGATCCTTTGCTGTGAGAGTCTGACAAGCATGTTTCTGGTCAGTTTGGAACAAATAATATCACAATGTTGATCTTTTTTTCAATATTCCTTCTCTTTTACGACATAAACTGTGATCAAAGCTACTTATGTTCACAGCATGTAATAATACTGACAGTCCAGGGCATTGTGGTCTGTTGAGCTAGGGTTAGGGTTAGCAATTCAGACATATGTAATCAATATTAAACGATCTGACGTGGGCCACTGTCCACAGTGTTGGGAAATCCATACCAGGCTGGAACAAGTCAAGGTAGGTGAGCATCCACGAGAAGACACAGCAGATGCATCCTACTAATACTGACAGGACCAGGAGACTCCAGAAACCGAGCATCTTCTCTTCAGTGCCATCCTCTCCTGTCACCCTCTCTACCCGCAGCTCTTTAAGTATGGGTTAGATAAGGGCGCAGAGAAACCCTTATTACTAATTTGTATTATAATTCAATTTTCATGAAATATTCATATTCAGTATCGGTCCTTTTATATTATAACCACGTATCCACCCAGGCTCATGGTGGGGCAGGGCTCTGTCCTGGGATGCTTGAGTACAAGGTAATGTACACCCTGACAGTCTAACTGTAAGCAACAGTCTAAATGTAAAGTGCATTCTACACTCCTCTTCAATAAATCATATGCAAAGAGTCATTCAGGACTGTAAAACGTCAACTACAGAACCCAGAGTCTTCATCATTAAATCTCTGGTTGCTTCATTTTTCTATCCTATATCAGATACTTTAAGGTTAGGTTAGGTAAACTTGCATTCTCATGGTGAGGCAAAGTGCTTTATGTGTGTGTGTGCGTGTCATGAACGGCTATAAAAGGCCTATAATTAAAGAACAAAGCGGGGTTTGAGTTCGAGTTGCGGCAGACTGTCACTACTTGTAAATGGAACGCAGCCTTCCTACGGCGGACAGCTAATAACAGGAATCGGACGCGGTCCAGCCAAGTCCACAGCAACCACCATAGCAACCGCCTAGCATGACCTTAAAAACATTTTCTGTCTTCATAACTATCAAAAACGTGAAATGATTTGCAAAGTGTGAAAGTGTTACAGCTGCAGAGAGCTATGGCGGTATCTTTGGAAGCTGTTTACATAGCTAATAATATACGATGTAACCATGGAGACAGTCAGTCACGTGAGCTAGCGGTGCATGTTTACTACAGTGAATAAGGTGATTGCGTGCACAGCGTCCACACGCTGCAGAGGGTAAAGACATTACTTCAATATTGTTTTATATTGATATATATTTGCCTTCTGTTGACCATCACCTCAGGTTCACCATCACAGTTTCAGCATACAGATGCACACTGTGTAAATATGAACACATTCAAAAACTCATGTCTCAGAAATAAGCACGGCTGTTCATGTTTGTCATTAGAGTTTTATTTGTAAGAAAATTATGAGCTTCATATTGTGCATCAAATAAAAGAACATTTCACAACTGAGTCAACAGAAACAGGAAACAGAAATGTCTCTAATGTAGACGTGTACAGTGTAGTGTAAGCATTAAAAGATCACAAAGGAAACACTAACATTTATGTGAAACTAATTGTAATAAAAAAAATGAACAGGTAGTTTATAGATGTAAAAGAAAGAATCTGAAAACAACACTTTTTTGGTCTAAGTGATCAAAGTAGAAAACAGAAGTGATGTTCAAGAACAAACCGTAGCTGCACTAATATTACACATCTCCATTGATGTGGTGAACAGACATGTTGCTTTTAAAACCACATGCAGTGTGTGACCGTGACTGTTCACTGAGACCATGAACGCCACTTCGCTGAAGCCTTCGCCTTCTTCTTCTTCTTCTTCTTCTAAATTGGAAGCAGAAGGAGCACGAGCTGCTTTGATCTACTGAAAGGAAAAAGCAGAACATCTGAGCTGAAACCATTAAGACAGGAACAATCATTCAATGCAGTGTCTCACGTATCTTAGCCTGTTACAACTGTTGATACAAGCTAAATACGGTTAACACACAGTGTCAGGGAGCTCCAGTGTGGGAACTAGTGGCTTTAGGTTTGTAGTCATTTAACTTTCATCCATTCATTCATTTAATTCAGGAGGAAGAAATGTCAGGTGGGTGCAGGCTGGTTACATGCATTTGGTCCCATGCTGTCTTTAACTAAATGACTTGGTTCATTTTATGGCTGGGCTGTATGTGGGGTTATATCATGTTATTTGGGCAGGAGTACCTGTCCCCTGTTAGACTTAGAAAGTTTCTCCATAAGTAGAGTTTCTAACTCTTCTAGCACATCTGTGGCTGACAGCTTTTTGGTGGCTCTTTTTACCCCACACTGGTTGTGAGTGTGTAAATAGCCCCACTAGTTCTTTTGGGTTGCAGTTAACTTGGGAGGAAGGGGTAGGTCTGCCATGACTAGATGAATAACAATTATCTGGGATACATAAATTTCATAATGCATGCATATATCTCTATAAACCTGCCTGTGGGCTGCCATTTTTACATTCAGTTATTTCTTTGTTGAATCTAAATAATGAATGTGTTACAGTTAAAGTGACACTGGTCAGTGTAAATGGCTCATTGGGACACAGAAACCTTTAAATTAAACCCTATCACCTGATATCGAGTGTCAAACAATATCAAAGCTGTAAATGCTGTTTACAGTCAGAATTTATAAAACTATGATTGTAAATAAATTCAAACAAGTGAGCTTTTCTCTTTGTGCTGAATATCAACACTGTGGTTTCTTAGACTGTAAGCTTTACTTCAGCACAACCAGTTGTAGAAGCTGCCACTCCAAATGTCTTTGATAACAAGACAAAAATACCTTTTCAGTCCACGGCCTGAAGTTCTTCTCCGACATCTTCTGACATCGGCTTTGTCTGCTGGTTTGAAGACAATAAACCACAAAAAGATGATTTAGTCACTTTGTCTGCGTCATGCAGCTCGAATGTGTCGTGTAACGATGTTGAATAGCCGTCGTTATCCCTCTGCTGTGTCAGTAGGATTGTACTGTACAGCATCTCATTGATATGTGAAAAATGCTAATGTAACACGATAACAGACTTACATCATTAAAACATAAAGGGCAGGAGATATTTAGATATTTTTATATTTATATTACATTTTATAGCTGACGGATATTACTAAATAGATAGAATTTACTAAATAGCTGGATGAACATGAAAAATATGTCTATAAAAACAAATGACCATGAGAGCCAGTAGAATTAATTCAACTGGACACTCAAAAGATGTCCTTAAATGCTCTTTAAGTGGCAGAACAGATGAACAAACAGTTAATCGCTTACTTGAGATGAAATCTGCTGAGCTACTTTGAAAACAGCTTCTAACTGGTTCCTCCTTTAACAGGATGACGGCTCAGGGGTAAGGCCATCATGCAGTCCAGCAACCTTTATGGTTCTGCTTTGATTCACCAGGAACTATTAGGGAAACCTTCCAGCGCCTCCTGTGAAAGACACAGGCATAAACACACAAACATTTATTAACATGTTCCACAGTCTTCCAGTTTGATTTTCTCATCCTGTGGACAACAACGTACATGGATGCAGGTTTATTGTTAACTTTTGTAAGGTTTATTTACTGAACATATCCAGCTGCAGCTCCACTGTGATCCTGAACTGGATAAGCACTTAAGAAAATGTGTGAATAAATGGACAAACATCAACTTACTATATTTATCCAAACAGACGGGACCAATAATGCTTCACTGAGTTAGAGACTTTAACGTCTCTTCTATGTAAGACAACAAAGGTTTTTCAGACTGCATGTAGCTGTCCTCTATGTCAGCTCACACATTTACATTCATGTCACACTTATTTCTGCTTTCCCATTTTATAATTATTACTTACATTTTGATTAGATACCTTGAGTTTGTAAATGATCAGATTACATAATTGGAATACAATGTATCCAATTCAGGGTTGCGGGAGGATGAAGCCTATCCCAGCTGATACAGGACAAAGACAGGCTGCCAGTTTATTGCAGGGCTAACACGATATGTGTAACAGAAAATCCACTTAAATGTTTGATATTTCTTATAATAATCATAATTATGACTATTATTTAAAGGTTTCTTTATAAATACATTTTGATTTTTATAACCTCTAAAATATAAACCTGAGCCGTTTCAGATTCTGACCTCTGACCTCACTGCAGCTCCCTCTTGGAAGTACTGCTTCTTGTCTACCCCCAGTGTTGACCGCCTGCCCTTGATATCACGTACTGTACCCGAGGAACAGAAAAGGACAAACACTTGCCTTCATTTAAGAAGTACATTCATACAGAGGTAATCTATGGAAACACACTAGTTCACCCTTTGGGAGAAATCAGTTCCTGTGAAACATTTCTGTAAATGAACATCATGTGGAGAATGAATGAAACGAGTTCTTCAGGTGACTCAGCAGTCCCACACTGACAAATGAAATCTAGTTAAACTATTAAGCATATTTGCTCTTCTGAAATCTGTGTTAAACAACAACAAACATAAGTTAGTAACAAAAATACAGCTGAGTAGAGGCTTTCCAAACCACCAGCAGCCATAATGCTAAATTTTAATCTTCAAATGTTTCTGAGCCGTCTTCAACCTGCTTTTAACACATTAAAGTCCCACAGTCAATGCAGCCTGACTCAATCCTAGATGTTCAGCACACAGAGACACAGAGGTGCCGTTTAAAGTTTAGTGTTAACCTGAGTCACTGATCATTTGCAGTATTACAGAGTCTGGCAGTCTTTGCATGATGTCCACGTCACTGTAAGTTTCTAGCTGACTCTCAGGTGTGACAGGTGTGCCAGCAGGAAAGCGTAATAATAACCTGCATCCTGAGGTTTGTCATGCAGGATTAAAGGAGCCAGGCTTTGTTCACACAGCTGGGATTGTATTTTACACTGACCCTGGGTCAGTATAAGTATCATACAGTTTAAACGAAGCACTGAAACTTGCACATATTTATTATAGATGCACTGAAGCTAATCGAGATATTTGCTGTCAGTCTGTGGCTGCGATTAAACACTTTACTGGAAACTTTATTAACTAGTAACTTCATCAGTCATGACAGAAGCTAATATTTCTGTGCTAACATCGTTTAACCAGTAACAGCTTTCCTCCCATATAAGCTAACGTTTACACCGTAACTTTAAGCTAGCACCATAAAGACGGTAAAACACGTAATAACATCTACAAATGCATCTTAAAGCTGTTATATTAGCACTCTGTGTATTACTAACATAACCACATTAACATTACTGACACTCGCTGACTTTTAATAGTCATTCTATAAATGCTGTCCGTTTAAACGGTCCTACCTGTAAACACTGCATATCCACCGGATTCCAGCCAGAGTGGATTCTGGAGTCTTCCACGCTCCTGTTAGTGATCCTCCATCTGGATGGATGAGAACAACCTTCTGAACAATCTAGCAGGAGATGGCCCATATCTATGGGACTGATTTGTGCTAATAACGCCCATTGTATGGACTGATAACAGCCGAAGCGGGTGAATAAAGTCACCCAGTAGCTAGCTGTGCCATTACCCAGCATACATCACTCCCTCCACAAATGCAATAAACCATACAAAAGTATCGTTCTACCTGTTTTTCAGGTAGTTGTTTACATTATATAATTTATTGTGTTCAGTATACGTCACTACAAAGTGATTTCGGAAATATATAAATATACCGACAACAGGCTCTTCCGCGGCAATCTCTTCAATCGGAGGACCCTTCACGTCAATTCCCGACGCGAGGGGGGTACCCTGCGCGTCCATAAGTGCAGCAGAGGGAGCCTGACCATGCGTCACACGTTTGACGAGTTGGGAGTGAGAACGTGTTGTACACACATGCAGACATTTGCTGTCAACAGCATAGCAAATATGTCACTAAAAAGTTAATATTCAAACCCCTCTTTTTTTCCACACTCTTTTTTTTTTTCACTATTGTGGTTTGGCTGGTCCGTACACAGGGAATGAGAAATGTATCAGATTTGAGTTGCTAGTCCCTTTGAGGAACTGGGCAACAGCATGAGAGTGACTCACTCACTGTCATGTGCTGTCTCATAGCTGCTTGCTGAGGTCTTTCTTTCCTTTGCAAAAAGGACTTCAGCACTTTAATGATTTTTGGATCATTTATAAGCTATATATATTCTAAAGTTATAACCCTATGATTTATTTGTTTTATAATTACACTATGAGCGACAAAGATAAGTGGAGGTAAAATAAACAAATATAATAAACAGTCATTTGATAATGGACGTTTGAGGGGGGCATCACAGGAAGTCATAGTACCAGTTGCATAATGAAACAATCAAGCTTCCCCCTCTTTGCGCCTTTGTTCATCCTTCCCTGTCTGAGCCATCAGAGCAGGGCTGCAGACATGCAGGCAGACATCGTCTTCCTTGTGTGTCCTCTGATTTTTGGTAAGTAATTAAACAAATTATTGATCATTTTAAATATACTTTAAACTTTCTTGAAAAAAAAAGAAATTCCAAAAAATTAACATAGTTGCTTTTTGGCTACATTTGGAGGACGTTTGCCATGTGGTGTAATTTAATGAATCCCTGTGCTCCACTGGCTTCTCCTAAATTATCAATATAAGAGGTTTATTTTAAGTACTTTTTTTGTCTTTTGAATGTTTTCTGCAAAATATTTTGTGCTGATGAAAATTAAATACTGACAAATCAGATTGTAATTTTGTAATAAAATGCTCTACATTTTTATAACTTAAAACAAATGTTTTTCATTACAAGAACATAGACATGTTTTGCAGTCTGAATAGTAGATTTAACTATTAACAGAGTTAAAACTCCAGCTGCTCTCTTCCTCTTTCTAAATATACAACTGTTGCAAAACAGTGTGGTATTTGTAAGATTTCCAGATAGCACAAACCTCTTGTCATATAAAGTTTAGTTTTTACGATGACCTTTCTATACAGTCTCAAGAAATCAATGCTGTTACAGCTTTTACAGCTTCTTTTTTAAATATATGAAATATTTTAATCAGCCGTGTCCTTGAGACATTCTCTTATGCTTTTTAGTTGTCATAATAAAACTGTGAAATATCACTGCTGTGTCTCAATTATGTAAAGTTCAATCTACTGTTGAATAATGCTGGATAAATGATTTTCTGTGCTTTCTGTACAACAGCAACATTGTGGAGGGGGGTGCAGGCTGTCTCTCCTGTACCCTCAGTCCCTGACCGTGTCCAGGCTCTGGTGGGCACCTGTGTGGTTATTCCCTGCTCCTTTACGCCTCCAGCCCCTCATCCTATTAGAGGGAGGAAGCAGTGGGTAGATGTGCGGCTAAGGTTCAGAGGTGGTGGCCCTTTTTTTCCTCTTCAGAGCACCGCTTTTAACAGCCAGGACAAAGGCCAAGTGAGCAGGGATTTCCAAGGCAGAGCATCCCTCTTTGGCGAAATCGCAGATGGTGACTGCTCAGTGAAAATCGAAAGGATCAGGGAGGATGACCCCCAGGTGTTTGAAATTTCTCTGAAGACAGTGGGCGACTCACTCTGGGGGAAGCCAAGGAGCTTCAATCTGGACCGTATTTGTGAGTGAGGAAAACAATGCATGTCCTCTTTTCTACTTTTTAAAACACTTTGATTTTTTTCACATGATAAATATTACATAGAAGAATTATTAGTACAATCAGACAATAGAGAATCCCCTGCATTGAAAGTTATATTTAAAAAAAAAGCTGCATGAAGTGCATATGTGTCTTAAGCAGATTAACTATTAAATAAACTTTAAAATGTTTCCCGTGAAAACATATTTTCTTAAATCTAAAATAAATGTACAGGAAGAGCATTAAGCATTTCTTTTTATCTTTACATTTATAAATAAAAATTCACATTTTTTTATAGAGCGCCAATTCACAACTATAGTCACTCAACACACTTTATATTTTAGGTAAAAGACCCTAACAATCACACAGCGCCATCTTAGCAAGAACTTCATGAGACTGGGAAGGAAAAACTCTGGTTTAACAGGAAGAAGCCCGACTAGCTGTTTGGGGGTGAATCAATATCAACTACAGGAAAAACACAAAAGAAGAAATATGGGATTATTCATTAAACAGTTTTGTTTCTATCACATATGAGTAGACTTGTTCAGTAGTTCTAGCACTAATGGTTGTTGTAAGAGAATTCGTCTTTTTGCTTGTATGATTTTTATGTTTTTAATACACTAAAGTGTTAAAATCATAATGATGGAGATTTTCCTTCTTGGCAGACACCCCTGAAGCTCCTGTCATCAGCGGCATCATGTCAGCCACAGAAGGACAACTGGTCACCCTGAACTGCTCTGTCAACTACCACTGCCCCTCCAGACTGCCTGATCTGCAGTGGAGGTGGGAGCGAGGAGCCCAGAAGAATATAACTGAACCTGGGGAAGTACAGACACTCTACCCAGATCCCCACAGGAAAATTTTACTGGCCTCTTTGACCTTTACTGTAACACACCAGGTGAAGCCCAAGCTCAGGTGTCAGGTCATCTTCCCAGGCCCTAAAACACTATCCACTTTGAAGGACCTACATGTGACGTGTAAGTATAAATTTGACACGTGTATTTGTGTTCCTGGCTCAGTAAGCTAAAACCTTTCTTTTTCCCTTTTAATGCTCTTAGTTCCTCCAAAAGATGTGAAGATTCAAGTCCAGACCCTGGCAGTGAAGGAGGGGGGCAATGCACTGCTCATGTGCTCATGTAAAGCTGACCCTCCAGCAACAGAGTACCACTGGTCCTATAGTCAACATGGCCGCACTGTGCACCTCAACCAGCGAACGCACACAGTCCGGCTGTACAACGTGACACGAGATATGAGGGTCCGGTGCGTAGCTCAGAACCTGATTGGCCGAGGAGAATCGCGACCCACAACTCTTAATATACAATGTAATTCTACCGCTTCTTGGTCTTCTCTGCATCCCATATATACGTGTTGTTAGGTTGCACCCAACTAACCAAACCATAGGATTTGATTTAACCAGGCATTTATTTGGCATCAAATTAACAAGGTTCAACAAGTAGAGCTTGATAAAAACAGATGAGGGGGATAATAAAAGGAAAATAAAACAACTACAGGTGCATAATTCAAATCCAACTGACAAGTAAAAACTGAAATCTGAACTTTGAACTCTCCCAGGAGAAAAAGCAATTGTTAAGTTTCAGTCATGTAAGTAGGTTGGTCCATGACAGAAACACAAAAATTAAGGGAAAGACAATAAGCTTTTGTTGTGTGAAGATAGAGCAAACTGCAGAGCAGCCATTGAGAGAAACAAAAAACAGGTGATTATACATTAACCAGGATGGATTTGAAAATAAAGGGCAAAAAACCTGTTTATCACCCAGTACATTGTTATGTGTACTGGGTGATAAGCAGGACAATTAAATCCCAATGAGTTTGTCTTACACAGATGTGGAGCTTCTGCATGCATCTATTTGATTTCACTGACCAAACAGTCTGCAAGGCCTGTAAAGACACTAATCACAGCCAATAAATAGTGAATGAACTGTTGTTTTTACATACGCCAAGTAGGCTAGAAGGCAACTCATTTTCTGTAAATTTCTCATCCAACCCATTCAAAAAATTATAAAATTGCCTTTTAATCCTTAGATCCTGTGTTTTGTGTAGATATATCCTCATAAATATTATTGAGAACCTAATGACAGTATTATCTCTTCCAGATAAGCCGGCCATCATCCAGCTCTCCTCTACCTGTACTGTAGAGGAATCAGAGGTGGTGTGCCAGTGTTCGGTCGACTCCAACCCTAAACCTGCAATCACCTGGAGCGTTAATGGGTCTGTTCCACCTCAAGATTACAATGTGTCTGTAACATCAGAGCCCACTGTGCTAACGGCTATTCTGAGAGGGCAAATGGAAAAACCTCAGATGGTGATTTGCTTTGCTTTCAACGCTCTGGGAAACGACTCGCTGGTCTTGCTGCAGGGAGAAGAAGGTGTGTTCAAAGCACTGTTTTTCCATACTAAGAAAGACAACAGCCCTGCCTCTTGTTTATTCACTCTGATGTCTTGCTTGTGTTGAAACTTCTGTGCAGCATCCCTGCAGCTTAAAAACACAAGTAGAAGAAAAGAAGCTGCAAAGAAAACCAAATAATTTTCTTGAGCTATGATTGAAAAATCTGATTTTTCTTGTTTGCACTGAAGTTTGAAGTTGATATAATCCAGTGATGGGACACTATATGCTGATCCACTGCTGCTCTTGTGGTCCACATACAGAGATAGCATTTTTCCTGTGGTTGGTTTTACCTGCTGTCACTGCTGTCCTGGTCATATTCCTCCTGGCCCTTCTTGTCTACTGCTGCAAAAAGAGAGCTAGAAAGTATGTACAGAAACATTTCCTGTTAAAAGTTTGCTTGGATTGTGTCACGCCTAATTATCAAGTCTATCAAATACCTGTTCTGCTTCTCTCAGGCACATTCTAAGAAGACATCCCACCATGTATCCTGGAGGATTGGAAATTTATCAGGACAGGATGCCTCTATATATAAACTGCACAGAAGTGACTCATGTTTACACCAATGGCAGCTACCAGCTTGTGTACCAGAACTGCACGCCTCTTTTTGTCCGCACTAAGCAGGTATTTGATAACCTTGATCTTTCAGTGCACAGTTTTTCCAGAGGAAATAGCAAATCACTTATTCCAGTGCAAACAGCTGCTCTCCCTTTTTTTTTAGATCCGTCCAATGGGCAGGAGAGGTGGGGAGAGACGAAGACCTGGACCAGGTGGAAGAATTAACCAAGAAGCTGGTCAGGAAGTCAGAGGCGTAAGAGAGGTGCAGGGTACAGCTGTGGAAGATGCAGAGACGGGCATCTACCTGGAAATTCTCTGATCACAAAGCTAAATTACAGTTACATTGTACATTGGATTAATACTGTTCTCAGGATATTGCATACATTGTAAATCAATACTTGTATATATGTCATTTGCATTTGATAACATTGCACTCTGATCTGTGGTTGGTCTATCTTTCTTCTAGTTTCTAAACTGAACAATTTCTGCCATCGAGTGACAGAGATGTGCTTTGCTCTTCAAAAAAAAAAAAGAGCCAAGGGAGATGAAAAGGTTTGATGAAAGAGTTTTCATCGTTTTATCTGTGAAGCCCTTGAGGAAAAAAAGAAAACAGACCCTCAAATCTGATGTAGTCTGGCCAGACCACTCAGTTGCATTTCTAAAAGCAGCTGGAGCACAAGAGTGATCCTCAGGAAGCTTTAAAAGTTTCTCTGGAAGGACAAAGAGCTGCTCCAGCTGTGATGAAATTTATAACATTCATTACATCAGCAGTGACTCGGTTGTGTTAAGCATACCTGGAAGTTTTTCTTGTGTTGGAACTTTAATGACTTCTTTATGGCTATTGTTTAACTAATTTCCCTTAGTGTTCATCAGCTTCATCAGCTTGAGTATACACACACCCACACACACACACACACACACACACGGAGTTCAACAGTAAACAACAAAAAAGAATAATGCAGAGAATCCTTCCTTTCATGCTCATCTACTCGAAAAGTCAAATTTATTTACATGTTTGATTATGAACTTTTTTTACTTCACTTTTTTTGTATGCATACTGAATCAGTGCACTTTTATTTACACTGGTCTGTACAAATGTTTCCTATATTATATCTTCTAGAGCTTTCTTATCTAATTTTATACTTCTGTAATTATGTGTACATTGCTGATCTCCAGTTTGATTTATGATGTACTCTCAATTTAAAAACACAACCTATTTTTGGGCTCTTTTTGTTGCTGGTGTAATGCATAATTTTGCAGATATGGTGTTATCGAACACTGACAGCTGAAAGGCTAATGTACATTCTCCCTGCTCTGAGATCTTAAAGTGTCTGCTCACGACGTTTAAAAATGTATGTTTTGTCACAAAAGAGACAAACTGCGCAGGATCGGAAAAGATTTCAAGAATAAGTGCTCTCTTTGAATGCCTCTTCACGTGGTGACCGACTGGTGGCAATATAAACCTCAGTGACACAACAATTCAATCATAGAAGAAGAAAATAAAGCTCTGATTGGATAGAAAAGTCGTTAGTCGGAAGGTACGTCATATCCTGGCGTTTACAGGCTTTTGGTGGGAAAATGTGTGCACCTTCACGCACATTTAACTCATAATCAAAATCTGTGGTATGAATTTTCTGTAACAGCAGAGTAACGGATATATGCCATGCCTATAACGCTGTGAACAGATTACGCGGAACAGCCCTTTAGGTGTGCTAAAGTCACCAAAATCATTAGTGAGAGTTGCCTATTGTTTGTTAGCATGCTAACATGTTAGTCATCGGTTTATCTGACCAATAAGAAATTAAACTTTCAGGATTAAATCACTTCCAGTGGAGAGAAACTGGATGTGTCATATGACTTGTTAGCCGTTTGCGATCGCTTCGTGGGGAGGCACGCGCCCGTTTGGTTTATGTGACTGATCAGTGAATCGATCAGCTTTTAGCCTGACGATCATCAGTAACAACAACGAAATGCCAGAAATCAAACTCAAGCACGTCGTGTCGTGCAGCACCGAGGACTCTGTAAGTGCAACATGATGTATTGCTTTTGTGAGATTTGTATGAAGAAAGCTGAGCTGTGAGGCTGCTTCATACTCACATGTGTTGTGTTACAAAAACAGACGCACAGGGCAGACAACCTCCTGAGCTCTGACACGTACAGAAAGTGGAAAGCAGCCAGACCCGGGGAGAAGCAGATATCAGTCATTCTCCAGGTTTGTTTGTTTTGTTGTTGTTTTTGTGTGTTCAAGTGACACCAAACTAATTCAATAACATGTGAGGTGTCGTTGATTAGATTAGTTAGATGGCAGATACTTACATATATTACATAAACACCAAATTACACACATGTAACTTTGGGAGAATCATACAATCTATTGAATTCAAACAAACTTTTTGTATTTGCTTTCTTTACACTAGAAGAAGTTTACACGCAAATTATAATTATAAAGTGAATTTCAGACGTTGTGTTACCGTCCCTGGTCATAACCTGAGATCCGCTGTCTCTGCTGCCAATCTCACAATCACGACTCACAATCACGACTGAGAGCTAATCACTTTCTCCAAGTAATCATTTATATTAGCTTTTTTCCAATCTTGCCCTGTGAGGGGCGGCAGATGGCTGCTGGAGGTTTCTTCCTGTTAAAAGGGAGTTTTTCCTTCCCACTGTCACTAAAGCGCTTGCTCATAGGGGGTCATATGATTGTTGGGTTTCTCTTTGTATGTATTACTGAAGGATCTACCTTACAATATAAAACACCTTGAGGTGACTGTTGTTGTGATTTTGTGCTGTATAAATCAAACTGAATTGAAGCAGTCTGTAATTTTGTTTTGAAAGGTGCTATTAAATAAAGTTATTGCTACTGTTATTAGATAATGATGATCAAATATATTTAAAGTTATGCTTTGAGTTGCTCTAAATAATGTGTTTATCTGGTACATCACCAAATAAAATTGTATACTGATACATCCAGGTACTTTTAACATTTCATTTGTTATTAATCATGTCTTTCTTACCATACAGACAAATTTGGTGATATTTGCATTTATCTAGAAAAAGCTGAATTTGTCTTTATTGTGCAGAGATCAGACGGCTGAATGCAGCACCACGTGGTTTTAGAATAATTCGATTAATTAATAGTGTGTTGATTCTTCTCTTGCTTTACTTTCGGCCTTAGAATAGTTTTTTTTTCAAGCTTTATTTAACCGCAGCTCTTGAGATTAAGAATCTCTTTTGGAAGTGTATCCTGTGCTTCCTTGGGAAGTATTACCATGCAACTTTTACTTTTCTCCCTCAGTTTGAAAAGGAAGAGCAGGTGCACAGCATTGATATTGGAAATGAAGGTTCAGCTTTCATTGAGGTGTTGGTGGGGAATTCTTCAGCTGTCAGAGATCAAGACTATGAGGTATTCTTACAAATAATAATAATCGCACTTCCTGAATGCTGTAATGACTTCATTTTATCCAGTCTGATTTTAATCTCACTCTTTTAGGTTCTCCTGGTTATGTCTTCCTTCATGTCGCCCACGGAGAGCCGCAGTGGCACCAACATGAACCGTGTGCGTTTCTTTGGGCCCAACCAGCTGCAAAAGAGCACAGCTCAGGAGAAGTGGGACAGAGTGAAAATTGTGTGTAGCCAGCCATACAGCAAGGTAAGTGTCTAAGAGTGTTTGATGTGTAAATTGACAAGCCCTTTGTAATTAGCAAATATATCTATTATTAAGACTGAAGCCGTTTATGGAATGATGACAGTGTCTGAATACAGCAGTGCAACAGGACCTGTTCTATAGTGTCAAATGAAAGCAACGTAATTGCAGTGCAGCGTGGTTTTCCAGTTACGGTAACTTTTTATTAAGCAATGAAATATAAGCGCTGAGATGATCTTTCCAGATCCTTTGTCTCAGGTATCCTGTTGTTGAGGCACCGTTTGAAGTTTGAATTGTGTCTCTTTGATGGAAATATAATGTGAATCTGTCTTTGCTCTTTATAGAATATTGCATATGGGCTTGCCTTTGTTAAGTTTCATTCGCCACCTGACAAAAACGATCCTCCTCCAACTTCCTCCCCAGTAAGTACTCCACTGAGACCATGCACACCAATGAGGAAAAACAGTATGCCCTCTGATAGGTGACGTGAATAAGACCAATTATCTCTTCATCTTGGCAACTGTTAGTGGGTTGGATGTATTTGGGAGCAAGTGAACATTTTACCCTCAAAGTTGATGTGTTAGAAGGAGGAAAAATGGGCAAGCAAAATGTTTGACATAGTCCAGATTGTGATGGTACATCTCCAAACCTGCATCTCCTCTGGGGTGTTCCCACTCTGCAGGGGTCAGTATCTATCAAAAGTCGTTCAAGGAAGGATAAGACGTGATGGGGTCATCAATGCACAGACAAGCTACTGTACTTTAGCCTTTACAAAGCCTAATATTCTATTACACTAATAGAAAGTAAAAAATATGAACAAAGTTTTTGGATTGGAAAAAATTCTGACGTGCCTTGAAATGGAATTTTTCCAGGCCTACAGACGGCTACAATAACAGCTTTCTCTGTCTCAACCTCACACTTTCCAATTGTATGGGCTCGCTGACTCGTTTTTGGATCATATTAACTAAAATGTTAGTCTGGTCATACTATATTTCAAAATGTAGCTGTGGTATGAAACTCCACTGTGACACGCTGCCCTTCTCATCACATCTGTTTTTCTTTTAGCAACTGATGATGACGAATGGTGACAACTGTTGAAGTGTTGAGGTTCATTCGCCAATTCTGTCTTTTCAGTGATTTAAAACATCTTTTAAATGTTTTCAATCACACTCCAAGTTAATAATCTGTGCGACTTTGTTATAGTAAAATTCAAAATGTGCTTGCTGAGGTACTCTTTTACTTGAACAGGAATTTTTACTTGATTTATGTTTTTTTACTTTCGTTTATGCTGTAGTGGGAATTCAGCACAAACGCCTGACGCGTTTGTTTTAGCACTTCCTGGATATTAATCTACTTTCTTACTCATGGACTCATTTGTCATGTTACAGCCTTTTTGCTGTATTAGGGGAAATGCACTTCCATCTCTCTATCTTCCTTATTGCCTCTGAAGTCTTCCTTCTTCTGTCCTGTCAGAAACTGACAAAGCTGGGACAGTTCAGGGTGAAGGATGAGTCTCCTGCATCCGGGCCCAGCCTTCAACCTGGCAGTCTCTTCTTCAGTCGGGAGAACGCAACAAAGTCTAGCACTTCACTCAAAGGTAAATCCAATTATTTGAGTCTACCTTCTGCTGGAGGCCAGTTAAATTCTTTATGTTCACTGTAATAATAAAATTGTAATTTTGTTAAATAATAAAAACTCAACAGAGCACTAATTAGTTTTAAAAGAAGTGATTTCAAAGACATTCTTTATGATCAGGCTGCTTTCTTTCTTAACCTGCTCTCTGCACCTCTCTCTGTAGCGTCTCCTCAGAGTGAGAAGATAAGCTACGCGGCTGCTGCTCTGCAAGCAAGCGGCAGCTCCCACTCATCAGGCCAGGCCTCGTCTTCCACCTCTGCCTCACCACAGGTAGTAAACACCCCCGTCCTCCACTTAATGGGCAGGAGGATTTTCTCTATATTTAGACCACATGAAAGTGGATAGTTTGTTTTAGTTTGGGATCTGTGGTATCATGCGATACTGTAGCATGGTGGCTCAGTGGTTAGCACTGTTGCCTTACAGTAAGAGGGTTCTGGTTTCAAACCCAGAAAGGTCACTGCATGGGGTTTACATGTTGTCCCCATGCTCACACAGTTTTTCTTTGAGAGCTGCGATGAGAATGAAAAAGATACCAGGTTAATGCTGCCTGTGGCAGCTTCTTAATCTTAAGAGTTTCACTTCCATCAAAGCTTTTGATCTAATAACTGAAGTAAAAATAGGTCAAGGTTGGAATCATTGTTACTGAGCACCTCTTTTCACAGAACTGCATCGGTTGAAGATCCTGGTTTCATTGAGTTATTTTCCCACATGCACAGTCCTCATGGTTCATTGATAAGGAAATTTAAATCTGAGATGGAGGGTACCTCTTGTTACCGGCACAGCCATTCCCCTTTAAGAACCTGTGTGTGATGTAATTCCCTTGTTGTTTAGTGTGCGAGAAGCAGCTGGTGACAGAAGTGATTAAGTTCCCAGAATCACAATTAAAGGGTCTGAATATGCACATGTTTCAGTGTAAGGCCGAGACCCCAAAACAAAGACTTTCTTCTTTCTTTCCCCTTAACATTAAATATTAGAAGGTAATGAGCCAGTACCAGCACATCAGTATTTTAAACTTTCAGGGAGCCTTAAAAAAACTTCAATTTCAAACTCTGAATAGCCTGTGGGGTGTCAATAGCAACAATGGCAGAATACTTGAAACTGACTTTACCTCATAGTGGGCATTGATATGAACTTTTTTGTAAATGCACGTATTTAAACTGGAGTAACATTAGGCTAAGGTAGCTTGACTGAAAGAGAAATACACGTGTGCTCCCTGGTTTATTATCATGACAAAACTATATGGTTGAAAAATAGGAAACTGTTGTGAAATAAATTTGATACTTGTAATTTTTTTTATACTTTTTACCTTCACCTTCAAGAAAGCCTAAAATACATTGTGTATTTTTTTTCCATGTGTACATGGCACACATGAAAATGCACCATTGTTATTTTGCTTGAGGACACCTTGAGAAGGAAAGTAGGAGGGGCTCAGACACGTGGAAGTGACAGCCACATGTCACTTTGGCTTTTGAAAGGAAAATTGAATAAAAGCCACCTGCTGCGATGAGCCGCACAAATACATGCCTGTGCATAGTAAAGCCAGCTGAAAGCTACCCCAGTTAGATACAGTTGTGCACGTAAGTTTACAAATCCTGGCAAAATTTATGATTGTTTCTTTGGATCATTTTTCTGTTTTGTTTTGATTTCATTGTCAAGCTGGAATGTCCAAGTGCGTCCTATGCACAGCTTCTGGGCTGATGTCTACAACTCTTCCTTCAGTTCAGAAACCAAAGTTTCTGTCTCTACTGTTAGGCACAATGTAAGCATCTGCTTTGTGACATGGGTACAGCAATGTTGTTCTTCTGGTGATTTGACCATGTTGCCCATTTTTTTTACCCATTTGTTTGTATCCCAAAAAATTTTCTGTGCAGTTGTGGCTGATTTTTTTTTTTTTTATTTATTATTATTATTTTTTTATTTTGATGGTCTTCTAAACGTGGCTTGGTTTCAACATAATCCCTCATTTTCCACTTCTTAAATAGAATTTGAACAGTGCTGATTCTCTATTCCTTTATATATAAAGTTCCACTATGTTCTCCCACAGATCCTTTGATAATTCTTTTGCTTTCCCCATGACTTCATTGATTTTATCTATAGACTACAGTAATAATATAAACTGGTACCAGGTGTTAGCGGACTTCAGGCATGAAATAGCAATTTCAACTCTGAATTTTCACCTCTAGCCACCAGCAAAAAGGAAATTTGAATTCAGCAAAGAGCGACAATCTGCTCCCGGCCCCCCTCCCTCGAAGAAAAAAAGTCCATCTGGTTCACCTGAGGGTAAAGCCGCAACCCCCAAACACAAGCCGAGTTCAGTCAGTACACCCAGCCCAAGCACGGCCAAAGGTAACACAGTCTCGGAATCTTTGCATTATTTATTCATGTGGAGAACTTTCCTTGAGTTTTCTAATAATCTCTACAGCATCACCAGTTCAGAAGGCTGCTGACAGGAAGAGTGAGAGTGAGTCTAAACCTGAGCCTAAAACTAAACAGAAGGCCAAATCCCAGAAAGAGCAGCAGGTCCCATTCACCCGGCTCATGGAGGGGGTGGTGTTTGTCCTCAGTGGATTTCAGAACCCCTTCCGAGGGGAGCTGAGGGAAAAAGCGCTGGAAATGGGAGCCAAGTATCGACCCGATTGGACGCCTGACGCCACACATCTTATGTAAGTTGCTGAAAGGAATGAATTGGCATAATCTAGCATTCATAACTTTAATTCATCCCTGAATTTAATACTACTGACTTTAGATGAAAAGATTTATTCCATTGTCCGTGTCTGCTCAGTGAATTGGGAGCTAAAGCCTGCGGGTGGTTAGTGTATTAGCAAAAAGTGGGAAACGGGGAGTCTGGTACTGTTCAAGGTTAACAAAACCTGCTTATCCAAACTTCTGAATTACTTATTGGCATTTCTGTCTTTGTGGTGGGCTAACAGCTGCAGGCTCTATCCTCTAGTCTTATGCTTTATGGACAGACATTAAAGTTATATCAGTTTTCTCTGCTATTTTTTACGATTTTAGAACAGTAAAAATTTATAGTACCTACTGTTCCGAAGGACATTTGGGGTGTTTTTTCATAACCTTGTGCAAAAATATAATGTCACTTTATTTACAGTGTTGTTGGGTTTAGTTGACACCACCAACACAACATCAGTTCTACTAAAATATGGCTTTTATTTTACCACATCAGCTCAAGCTGTTAAGGACATTGTTTACTGCCGTCCTTTGGTGTCAAGGACAGCTCACAAATATAGGATTCACCAAGAGAATGCGTGGAGATAAATGAGCAAATGCAAAAGAGCTGCAGATAAGGCAAAAGATCAATATGTGGTGAAACTGCAGAAAGTTGGCACATGATAAAAATGAAGGGAGATAAGCAGAAGGAAAACGTTTTCAAGCTATGCTTTTTATAAATAGTTTTAAAATTGAATGTTGTGTGAGACGTTCAAACTGAAATATCATAATGATCTCTGAAAATAATCACGGTAAATAACGAGATCACGTTATCTTTCAACAAAATTTCAAACGTGCCTTGCAAGAGATCTGTGTTGTAATTGTTTCAGATGGGTTTTTGTGTGTGTGTGTGATTTCGATTATCATCTTTGAAAAAGATCAGAGTTTTGTGTAAAAGTCCTGTCAGCACTCGCAGTAATTCAGTTTGATTGCATCTTGATCTCTGCTGTCAGAGCAGCCTGCCCTTGTTAGCGTCTCTTTACTGATGTAACCATACGTGTCTCTGTGTGTCCGTGCATCTCTTTCGGCCCATTAATCTGCAGCTGTGCCTTCGCTAACACCCCCAAGTACAGCCAGGTGAAATCAGCGGGTGGAATCATCGTACGCAAGGATTGGGTGCTGGATTGCCACAAGAGGAAGCAGAAAATCTCCTACAAAAGGTGAGTGGGAAATGCAGAAGAAATGATTTTACTTTAATAACAGACAGTGGCTCAAGCTTGACTACAGGAACTTTAAAAGGGCACTTCCACTCAGTGACAGCCGGGTTATAACCTGGAACATGTGTCCAACATTTGAATCCGCATCTGATTAAGGCCACGTCGGCATCTCTACATCACACGGTCTATGCAAAACACTCTCATTGATTAAATCATCCCAACATACACCCCTCACAGCAGTGTTTGCCGCTTGCTGCAGAGAACATTATAACCTTGAGCAGATGATCCCTGCTGTGATCACAAATTCAACCCACCCAACTCCAGCAGCTATCTAATTATAGGGCTCATTATAGGGGAAACTTTAGCAGCATCAAGATCCTTCTGTCATCGCTCCACACAAATCTGTGTGTGCTGAATAATGTAGAGCTGGATGCTCATCTCAGGCAGTGGATGGCCCAAATTAATTGGGATAGGACTGCAATTTACTTTATGTAGCTGGGCCCTATAATATAAGGAGTCCTTTCATACTTGTTTTGTTGGCAGTGATTGCCTCTGGTTCGAAGTCGAGCCATGCAAGGTTCATTAAGCTCAGGCATATGTGAGTATATGAAACCTGGTATTCTATAAGCTGTACTAATTTTAATCACTGTTATTTGTAAGTAGTTTTGTGTACATCTTGCTAATGAATCAGCTTCATCCCTGTGTTGTATAGTAATAATGTTACTATACTAAAAACAATGGGCAGGTGGGGCTAGTGGTTTCTGAGAGCCCAATATTAAATATTGTACTCCATTGCTGCTTTTTTTGTGTGAATTTACTGAACTGTTCTGCCTTTTTAAAGGGTCTTATCTTGAATGTAGTCAAGAAGACAGAATATATGTAAAAACACCTATTACTCATACCCTATAGCAATGGTCCCCAACCCCCGGGCCAAGGACCGGTACCGGGCCGCGAGAGTTGATATTGTAAAAAGAAGGTACTGGGTTTGAATCCACCGGCTGTCTAAGGATTAGGATTTGGGGTTCGGTGTGCAGCGTTTGCATGTTCTGTTCGGGTGCTCTGGCTTCCTTTCTCAGGCCAAAGACATGCATGTTAGGTTTAATGGCAGTTCCAAACTGGCCAGATGTGTGAATGTGAGAGTGAAGTTTTCTGTGTGTTTGCTCTGCAGCAGACTTGGGACTTGTCTAGGGTGCACAGTGCCAGATATCGCATCAATATCAGACATGTGATAATATCCTAAACAACCCAGTGGCAGTACAGTTATAGTAAGAGAGACACTTCCGACCCCCTTCCCTTTCTGTAGCCGCTTTACTGCAGCCTGAGTTTATCTACACACTTTATGGTTGACAAAGACGGATGACTACTCTTAATGGCCTACGTTTATCTGTGTCTAACTCCTCGTACACAATATGAGACTCACCACCAAATAACAAGCAGTGGGGACGAAACAAACTGTTGAAGACTTCTCAGATTATTTCCTCATATGCTGTCTGCTTCTGCATCAGGCTTTACGAGGGTTTCACCTACCGCTGCCTGCTGTGTTAACATTCACCAATGTGCTTTAAGCAGCCTGCTTGGTTACCCGCGTTTTCAGCTAACTACTTACATGATAATAAAAACTAAGAAAATCCAATAATTGTGAAGCATGTCGTATTCGAAATAATTTTCTCTGAGCTGTCCAGACTTTTTCAGAAAATAACATCACAAACAGGAAGGATTGCATGGCTGAAGATAAAATAAGATGTGATGTGGTTCGCTACTGTTCGATGTAGTCAAAGTTAAATTTCATGTTTAGTTGACCGGAGGATTTTTAGAAAAGTCATCATTTGATAGTACTTTTTCTTTGGCTGATTTTTTGTTCCACAAAATCAGGACTAGATGACTGCTGCTGCAACATCCAGATGCAACATCCTTGATGTCATTACTTTGGTAAGTAATGACATCAAGTGAAGGGTGTTCAGGGTTCTGTCCCAGGCAGCATCAATCAATGATTTAAAAACGTATCTTGTACTTGAATAATTGTGGATCTGCATGGTGATTGATGATGGTCGTCAGCACCTCCTAATCATTCAAACCCTGCAGATACTCTAAATCAAAGATTCACATTCATTGCCTGTTTTTACACTGTGCACGAATGCCAGTGCACATTTACACAGTGAGCTCCTCGTTTAACGTTTTCATCATTAAAACTGAAAATGTCACCTCACTAATGACCTTATTATGTTTGCATCAAACCTCGTTTGTAACACCGTGAGAGTTTTCATAATTACATTTATGTTATAACAATATATAAGTAACGATGTAATGAAATGACTCCATAATGGAAAAGAAGCGTCACATTTCGGCTCTGTCTGCATCCCAGGAATGCACTCGGGAATGTCTCAGATGTAATTAATGAGCCCTCCTTTGCTTATAATTAGGCGTGACTATCGGTAGGTGTGACTGTCAGTTCTCAGAGATCGTTGCGGCGATGCGGCAGGGCATACCTCGTAGATAAAACAGGTGCGCTGAAATCTGATATTTTTCATGTCGAACTTCAAAGCTGTAAATGAAAGTGGCCAGAGTTGCAGTGTGATGAGATTTCTCTAGACAGCTACAGTCTGCATATGAGGCACGCGAAGAATGTGAGAGATTGAGGAAAGCTTTTTAAAATAAAATCCTGCTGAAGGGCACAACGTGGAAAAATCCGATCTTTATTTAACGATTCTCAAAAAGTAAATTCAAATGAAAAGTTGACTGCAGCCTGTGTCGTCATTCGCCCTAACGCTCCCCTTTCTGTATCAATTTGTGATAGTAGAGAAGATCTCTCGCCCCCAGTCTGCTTCCCCCTCTCCCGTTGTCAGAATAATCCATTCCCCTGCCCAGCTCCGCTATTGTGCAGCCTGTGGAGTGTGCGGCTTTGATGTATCTTTTATTTAAAAGCTGCATCTGCTATGGGTAATTAAAGGGACCACTTACTTTGATGATGACAAGTACCCAAACAAATACGCACACTCGCACTCAAACTGTTGCTCCCAATGTGCACGCAAACACCGAGCGTCTGAAGGCGAATGCTCACCTTCACCGTTTCCTGACATGCATGCGGATCATGTCATGTATGTGTTAATGAGCCTGTGACATCAGCTAAGCACCCAAGAAATGCTTTCTGCACATTCATTATCCAATCAGTGAGAATCCAGGCGCAGGAGGAGAGGAGAAGGTGCATATTTAGATCCATAGCATCCAATCAAAAAAGAACTCAGTGAGTGAATATATTTCTCAATTAATCAGTGCTTTTTAGCAACGTCTGAAGGAGGACCTGGAGAATACTGCTATATTGCTGCCAGCACAGCAACAGAATTGCATTTTAATTAATTTAAAACGCAAAGCTCTTTCAAACACTTCACTGCACCGTGGTGTTTTGCAAAAAGCGTTAAAGTGCATCAAGTGAGGTCATTTATTTATTAAAAATTAGTTTAACAAAAATATTCTTCGTATCAAAAAAACTTTTCTCCATTAACAAACAAAAATAAAATATTTACAAAATTTTAAAAAAATGTAGAAATTTAAGGACTCGCAGACGAGAAGCTTTAAGATTAAAAAAAAAAAATCAAAAGCATTTCTGCCTCATTCATTGTGACTTTAAAGGTTTGATAACACAACCTCATTGAAAGACGCTGATATTGACAGAGTCTAATGTCGGGCTAAAAGCAATGGCAAAGAAAGTATGTCTGTTATTTTTAAAACTGTGAGCGATGAATGCTTAATTCTTTGACGCTGCTTTTCGAAACCCCGACTGCAAGGTGATATATCAAAGTTGATGTTTTTGCTATGCATGGCTTTAATAGTTGAGGGAATTTTACGTACTTTGTTGGACGGTTAAAAAATAAATTCATTTTAAAAAAAAAAACCTTGAGCTACATATTCTTTCTTTTAAAAATAAGTGTTCCATAAAAATCATTGAATGTTTGTTAGTAATATAAAAATGTTTATTCTTTTACGTTTATTTCTGCATTTTTCGTGTTACGTAAAGTTACGTATCAGCTTTTCATTACTGAGCAGATCGAGCTGCTTAACAACTCTCGCTATCTTAAGAAGCCGTTTTTCAGTTGTTTCTTTTGCCCACATTGTCCTTTTTCTTTATCCAATTTTCTGGACACTGAGTTTTATAACACGAGTAAACATATGTCAGTAAAACTCCCTGTGGTATGTGTGGAAACGATTACACCATAACTGTGGCATTTCAACTCTCTGCACTTCACATTTCCAAGCTAATAAAGTCCATCTGAATTTATTTGGCTTGAGGGAAAATGTAGAAAAGGTGGGCAGAAATAAAACGTTATCACTGGACGCTTCCTATTTATACGTGCGTGTGTGTGCGTGTGTGTGTGTGTGTGTGCAAGAGCTACAAGACTGGTTTTCTACTCATTACTTGCTTGTTTTTCTACATGTCACATTCAGTAGCATTATCACTACACACAGGTGTTCTTGGTGGAGTTTATTGGACCATTTAGCTTATTTATTCTCTGTACAATCTCTTAAAGTTTTCAGAAAACATTTTAACAATGAAGTAATTTTTGGAAATGTCCCGAGATGTTCGTTTTACCAGTCTGTTAAACAGAAATTTGAATTTAGACTAATCCAACTGTTCTTAAGAGTGACTGGGAGTAATTTTAGCAGTATTATAGCTATGGCAGTGCTTGGTATCTGCCCAAGAGGGGATTTTTCTTGGTAGCTTTTGCCCTGCCAATAGAAATGACATTTCGCATCACAATAACATTCACAACAAGATGGAGAAAATCATGATTGCATCTTTGTGTTTGGTCCGGTTGACCACAGAGTTGAAAGGTTGGAGTTTCAGTGAGAAGACTTATTCACCTTGTAGTTGGCAGTGTCGTCCGCCTGGTGCTACAGTAGATGTGGCACAGATGGAAGAGCAGAGAGTGGTGCGACTCCTGTAATCCTCCGTTTGCTCTTTGTAGGTATGAAAAGTACAGGAAACCACATATTTAATTACATGTAAGTTTAAAAAAGGTGGACTTCATCACTGATCCGTTCCCGTGGTTCTTTAATTTTTAGAGCAAACTATTGCTTGCACAGCTGATGTTTATGTAGATTTCTTTTTATTGCGCTGCAACAACATATGCTTACATGTAGACCAGTGTTTCCCGTCACTGTTGGTGTGCCGTGACAGATTATCTGGTTCCACCTGATTAGCACTTTAAGCGACCTGCTTGAGTAACGGGCAGAACAATTACATTCTCTTCCACCAGAGGACAGTGCAACTTCTTGCTCCAATTAAATGGGTTGCCAACTGCCAGTAAAACAGAAGAAGACGAAGAAGAAATTACATAATCATGCTGCAAGTGAGACAATTCAGCATAGCAATCGATAAATATTTGAAAAGAATATGCAATATTCTGTTTGTGATATTTTTGTTTGTTGGTGTGCCGTGTGATTTCTCTAATGTGAAATACGTGCCGTGGCTCCAAAAGGTTGGGAAACACTGATCTAGACTAATCATCATACACTGCCCAGCCAAAGCAAAGGTCAAAATAATTGCGCACATGTTGTGGCATCACTTTGATCAGCTCTCAGTATTTATTTTCATCCAAACTTGCATTAATATTTCATAAAAGATCTCATATTGATGCTGAGTTGGACCGCTGCTTAAATTCTTTCTAGCACATCCCAAACAGTCTCAGTGGGGTTGAGCTCTGGATGCAGTGGTGGTCAGTCAGTGCGTGAAAATTACGTCTCATGGGTCCTGAATCGCTCTTTCACAGTCTAAGCCCATTGAATCCCGACATTTTTATCTTGGAATATACCCATGCCTCAAGGGGAGAAATAAAATCAATTGATGGAAAAACCTGATCATTCAGTATAGTCAGTTAGTCAGCTACTTTAGCACATCTTGCTGAACCGATCCTGACCATCCAAAGATCATAACACTGCTCCTGCAGGCATGTGCAGCAGGCATCAGAAATGACGGGTGCAGCACTTCATCCACCTCTCTCCTCACCCTGATGCCCCCCATCACTCCGAAAAAGGACAAATCTGGAGTCATCAGACCGCTGGGGATAGGGCTCCATTGATCCCTATTTAATTTAAACCCTTTTCCCTCATTGCTCCACAATGATAAGTGCATTTTTTGATAGTACATTTCTCCACAGTCCATATTGTAGAGTAATATAGCAGGTCAGAACAAAACTAAAAGAGCTTTTCTTCCCAGTTTCAACTCTTCTGTTGCATAATTAGATCATATTACACTAAACCTTTTTAATACTGATTAAAAGAGTTTAGAAATGTAACAGCTGTAATTGTTAAAAACTATACTATTGTATTGTTTTACTAAATGAAAAACAAATAAAGCAGGAATGGATTTTAAAGAACAAATGAGTGGTTTCTGTGATTTATGACTTTGCCCGCTCTTATCTTTGTGACATAGGTTGCCTTAATTCTCATTGAAAACTGAAGTTGTTTTCACTGAGTGCTTCAGATGATCCACTTGTGACTGAGAGTAATTGGTGAGAAAAAAAAAGACCAGCCAACCCCCCAGGAAAATGTATTGTTTGTTTTTTGGGGACAGAAGTTTTTGTATTTCTGTCCCTCTGTCCCTCGTCCTGCAGAAAACTAGATTTCTCCCACTATGCAAACTTCAAAGTATGTAATACACAGTCTGTGCTAATGTTTTAAACATTAGGTCGTTGATCTGTCAGCTAAAAGATATTACCATCTTGTTGAAATTTAGTTTTTTTTCTCCCCCTCATCTGACAAGGGATTGTTGCAGTTTGAGTCATTGCACAAGTAGAGCTGATTGGGAACAAGATATGTTGAGGAAAGGTACTTCACTCTTTGGTCTTTAATCATCCTGACACTGTTTTGTTTTTTCTGTAGGTTTCTGATGGATGGACCCGAATCGAGCTCAGAGAGTGAAATGGAAGCGGACGACGAGAGCGAAGAGGAAATGAACACAAAGGTAAATTTGTTTTTTTTAAGTGAGCCTATAAATATAATCGAATGTCAGGTTTAAAGCTCCCTGCTGCTTTGCAGACGCCGCAGAAGAAGGAGAAACAAGTCACGGCCAAAAAGATGCCAGAGAAGGAGGAGGAAGATGATGAGTATGCTGGCTCCACTGATGTGGATGAACCAGGTTGGCATCAAGCGCTTTTTAATGTGTCTGAACTTTGAGACATTTCTGCCAGCATCAGTATTTCGGCTTGACTTTCTTTCAGGCTGTTACAGGGATAAAAGTCGAGCACATCATTGCAGAAACATCTACAAAATGAAAGCAATGTAAAACATTTTTTTAATGTTATTCAGCTGACTTAGAACCAAGGTTTGCCCGAGACAAATAGACTGAAGGAAATGGCAGGGGATGGGAAGTTGACAGTCGGTTCAATGATCAGGTGAAACGGATGAAATTGAAAAATGACAGCCAAGTTAAACAGGCAATTACAGTTTGAATCAAGTGCCAGTAATAGGAACACAAACCAAAAACAAGCAAAAAGGAAAAAGAAAGTTCTCTCTTCCAACATTAGACCGTCATGCACAGACCTGTGTCAGTGTATCTTTGAGTCTGCTTATCGGGTAATATTATTTACAGCCGTGTTTCCTCATCTGTTGTATAAGATTTCAGTAAAAACACAATAACAATTTTTTTCTTTAAAAATTTAGCAGCTAAGATTTTGAATATATTACATCAGGATCCCCCTGCATGACCTTTTGAGCTACACAAACTTATCAGAGGTCTTACTGAGACCTCTGACAGGTTTATTTGTGCCAAGAAACTGCTCTGTGAGAATCAACCACAGTGAAGGAAACTACAAACCTAAAGGTCTGGAACCCTAAATTTAAAGCATACTTGTTAATTAAATTCATTTTAATGAATAAACAAGTAAACCTTCATTTGTATATCTGCACTGAAAAGATCCGGGAGCTGAGCGTAAATGGCTGAGACTCCAGGAAAATTATTCACTCTGTTAGCTCAAATAACTAGAGATGGAGAAGAGGGTCGCACGTGAGCTGAAGAGGACAGAATGGATAGAGAGGAGGCCAGGGGACAATTTGAGAGCCCAGGGATCAGACAAAAGGGACAGCCTTTATAAAGCACTTGGAAATGGATGAGATGGCAGCACTGCCATTTTAAAAAATAAATAAATAAACAAATAAAAAGAACAGGAACAACATACTTACTGTAGATGCAATTTGAGGTGGGGGGGAAAAAAAGAACAGGGGTAAAATGTAATCACCATAAAGGGACTTGAGCATGAATCTCATTTCTGTTAATACGAGAGCTAGAAATAAAGTGTTGAGGTGCATCAGAGAGGACAGACAGCAAGGGCTGACCCACCAAACACATACATGACGACAGACGGCTTTTTAATTAGACCACCTTCTCTTTTTCCCGTCAACAACACAGGATTTTACGGTGGTGGCAGATATGCAAGCAAGGTGACATCTACTCAAACTCTAATGTGCAAATTAAAGGAAAAACCTGATCTGATGGCTTGTGCTGTCGGGCGGGGGGGCGTCACTTGGTCCACTTAACCTCACAGATTTGTTCTCAGATGACCTTTATTCTGCGGTGGCACAGAGAGTCGATAAATGGCTAAAAATGATGAAAATCGCATGCTGTGGCTTTTGTGAGTGTTAGACGGCTTTCCACCCAGTCATCACCAAACACCAAATGAGAAAATATCTTTTGGAAGAATGGCACTTCATCGTTCCAGCGGGGTGCAAGAGAACTGAAAAATTGATGCTGTCAAGGTGTTTTTGGCAGAAATGGCTCGGCTGGTCTCACCTTTAATTTGGTTCTCGGGTACTCATTAAAAAGCAGATTCGCCTGGTGTGTTTTTTCGCTCCCATCTGTGCTCGATGAGAATTGTAGAAAACATAATGGCAGCATAACAATCTCAATCTCCAGGTGACCAGAATTTAAATCTTTTCATTAGTTTAAGATTAGGGTCATAGAGCGGTCACAGTATTTTGTGTTGTCGGTGAACTCAGTGAAGGGAAAATTGTGTTAAATACAAAACTCGTTACCAACATTTTCAGGCAAACCTGGTGAGTTTAATCACACTTAAAAAAAAAATGTCTCATTCTCCCAGGAGGCGATGATGATGAATCTGCAGTGGACACAGAGGATGAGCTGCAGAGGTAAACAGGACAAATCATTTTGATTCTGCTGTTTGTAATGCTCATTCTTCAATAACTAATTCTTATTTGATTGTTAGGGTGCTCTAGTCTTATTCTGATTAATAATTTTAGAAGAACATGTTTTCTTTCGCACCGAGCCAGTTTTTTCCAGCGACTCCTGCTGTTTCCAGAGCATTTCATTGTCTTTTAGGTCACAATGAGCTGCATTTTACTATTTTCCTTCAGCATTACTGCCGTAATCAGCATCGTTTTTGCAGACATTGCAGTAAAAACATATGATGTAATGTAAAAACGCGCTTTATGCTACTTTTCCAGCACCATTCAGCAGATTAAATGAACTCCTGCAAAGACACTCTATTGAATAAAATAGTCTATCTGCGCCCTCAAGATGTTTATGGGAGAAGACATAAAATTCTTGGCTCTTTAATAAACAGCTTTTGGGCACATTAGCCTTTAAAAGAGATACTGCTGTACTAAAGTAGCCTATAGTGTTGTCATGACTAAATCTATATTGACTTTATGACTATATTGCTGATGTTATATATAATATGTATATCTTACTTGTTACATTTAGTCCTAAATGCACAGTTAAAACAACATTATATCCTTTTTAAAATTTCTCCATGGTCTTTAGCTGATCCCTTAGCGAGATTCCCTGGATTCCCTGAGCGAAAATAATGAAAAGATTCATTAAATGTGTAAAAAAGACAGCAGAGCTGTGGCCCCTGCTAGAATGTGGCCACACAATACCAAGAAAAAAACCATCTTTTGAGAGCAGGCTTGTTAACATGTAGGATAAAAAGGTTTGTCCTTGTGAAAGGGTGGAAGAGGGGAGAAAACAGAAGAAAGCAGCAACAGAAGGAACGGTGGTGAAGGACGAGGATCCTTACGGGGGGTCGACGGATGAAAACACTGACGCTGAAGCTGAAGAGGATCATCCCATCCCCGAGCTCCCAGGTATGCATCAATTAGTTCCCATCCAGCTTCTGGCTGCTTGTGTTTTGCTTTCTTTATTTTTTCTCCTCTTTTCTTATAATTTTCCTACAGACTGTGTTCCACTCTTCTTGATCTTTTGCTTCCCACTTTGTCTTCTCTTCTAGATTTCCTAAGCGGAAAGCACTTTTTCCTCTACGGTAAATTCCCCAATAACGACAGACGACTGCTGTTACGATACATTGTTGCCTTTAATGGGTAAGAAAGACTTTCAGTGGTTATTCCCAATGGACAAAAAAAAGACATAATCTGTGCAATTATAATTGTAATTTATGTGCCTGTCTTTGCTACAGAGTGATCGAGGACTATATGACAGAGAAGGTGCAGTTCGTGGTGACCAGTGAAGGGTGGCACGACTCCTTTGAAGACGTGAGTCGTACCCTCTTTTCTCTTTTTCTTTGAAAATAAGCAGCCACAACCAAATAAACATGTCTAACAGGGGCTTAAAAAGATTTAATATTCGGTGTACCCATGTGTGTAAGCTTTTTATCTTTTACTCCCACAGTCAAGACAATTTTGTAAAGGAAATTGCTTCACTTAACTTTGTGTCAAGTGTTGCTTTATTATACAGTGTGCACAGCTAAAAATAAAAAAAAAGGGAGAGGAAATACCCTTTAAATTTTCCACTCCAAGCGTTATCAGCCCAGAGTTCTGAGCCCTTTTCATTTGCACAGTATACACCAGTATACACCACTTTAGCATTCCCAGGACAAATTCAGCAGCAGTGGGGACTAATACCTTTCAAGTTTAGGTTACTATGGTTTCCAGCCATTTGCGTGCTTTTTTAGCATTTGAATTTGAAGCTTAGGTATAGTTTGAAGGGTTTTAAAGGCTTTACACCTCAGCCTGTCTGACCATTTGTAATGCAAGTACATGACATGACTGCGCTTCTTGCTTTTGCTCTGACTTCCTCGCAGGCGCTGATGGAGAACACCAATCTGAATTTTGTCAAACCGGAATGGATTTATGCAATCAGTGCACGACAAAAGATGCTGCCCTATCAGCCCTACACCGTCGTCCCCTGAACTATACACTGTATGCAGCGTGCGGCCGCACTCACACCCTCATCCTGATGAAGGAGCAGCAGGGAAAGCCATAAACACATTTTCCGTTTCAGATAAACAGCTACACTTTCAAAGAGCAATAAGTCAACTGTTTGTTATTATCGATGCCTTTATATTGGACTTCATATTTGATATACATATCATTTCTCCACCTCAAGCAGTTTTCTCTGCAAATGTTTTCAACTTTCAACCTTCGGCCAAGCGCTGCAGACTGTCCACTACATAGTGTTTCTTTCTTGGGGTTATTGTTAGGATTAAGTATAGGTTTATTTTTAGATTGTGCTCTCGAGGGTCGTTAGCCCCAGCTTGGCCAGGAACCAATTTCATCATCTCCACCATCATCTTCATCATCCATGTGCTGCTGAGTCTCTTGGGCTTTGCGAATGAAGCACACACTCTGGCTCAGGTCTTTTGAATTTCTCACTTCCTGTGCTGCAGTTTGTTGCTGCTCGCTTCGGCTACCTCAGGCACTGTCTGGAAATGAGTTACCACCCTGTCCTGACAGCCAGCAGCACTGATAATACACCATTTGTGTAAGTGGGAAGACTATTATGAAAACGACCCAAAGTCAGGTGAAAGATGTCAGTTATGGAAGGTTACAGCCATGGAAAAAAAGAAGAAACTGAACATTTTTGTTCTTTGTTTTATTTGATTTATTTAAAAAGGGATAACATTATAAATTTCTTTGTCTTGATAAATGAGTTTTGGTTTTATTCGTGTTTGTAGAAGAAGCACAGGCTGAGGACATAAAACAGACATCAGTGTTAGCATCCTTTTTAAGATTCTCATTAATTCAAGTGCAAGTGTCCAGCTTAACATCTCCTTTGCTGCTTGGCCAAAGTGGCTTGTTCAGTTCTCTGTCTCAAACTTCTTTTTCCTTGTAATACCTAATTATTTTGTCTAAATAAAAAAAAAAAAGATTTTTAATTAAAAACTTTGCTCTCTTTTCTTTTTATTAATCAAACTGTCTCTGCACTGAGCTGCTCTCATTTCTTTCTCTGCCTTCACTTGTGTTTGCAGCTCGAGAGGCATTCTTCCTTTTCATTCCTTCTGTGATCTCTAGTCCTCTCTCCTCTCTAATTTACTTCTCCTCCTGTTTTGTGCCCTGGAGCCACTGGGTCTTCTGCTCTCTCAGTCAAGGGGATTAGAAAGATGCTATGTGCATGAGAGACGGGTGAAGGAGTGGTGGTTATAGGGAGAGACACTGCAGGAAAGATGAAAAGGTTTGGATTCTCAGCAAGGATGCGTTTTTTTGTTTTTAAAGTGGCCAACTATTGGATTGTCTTCTCGTACAGTTCTTGTCTAAGGTGCAGTCGCACACATACTACCAAGTGTGAAGCATCGCAGGGACGCTTGCAACAACTTTGTTGCAGGAACTTATTTGTTTCTTGTGAAAGAAAGAGTTGCAAGGTCAAATCCGTTCAGGTCTCGAAGCGGTGAAATTTACGGTAGCAAGTGGTGTCGACTGAAAATTTGTCACATTTCACTGAAAGGCTGTCTGTGAGACAGCAGGAAGAATTGGCTGCTTTTAAACCTTCAAATTTGACAGGTGGACTTTGTTAAATAGCAGTTTCCACCTTACTCTTGTCACCTTGATTTCTTCCTGGCAAATTCATTCGTTCCCATGAGCATTTTTATATCTCTTGTGAATCTTGGCAATGACTTTTCCTGACAAAAGCTTTTCTCTCTGGCTCGTGAAATATTTTGTTTAACTCTGTAGACCTAGTCCTCTTTATCTGTGCCATGCAGTACTGGATTAAGGTGATGGATGTTTTCCCTCTAAATATTATAAATCCTCCATCTCCCTCTCTCTTGTTTTGAATTAATTTTCTTAGCAATTTTACTGTGGCACAATCATCTTTAAACCTATAGTACACAATAAGATTAATTCGCATACACACGAAACAAATTCGCGAGTGGTCAACAGACTATCAACAACAGTGACAGAAAATGCATTTCTCATATATTAGATTTCACTCAATAGAAGGAAAAAAAGAAAAGATGTTGAAAAGCTCTTCCAGGAAGTTTGCTTGTCGATGAGTTAGCTGGGGTTTTGAACTGATGGGTCGTTAAAAATGTTAAAACTTTCGTAAAATATTAATTCCAGTTGTTTTAGTCAGAATTTTGGGATGGATTGTTAATTTGGAGGAAGTTAGAGTACAAAGTCCAAACGTACTGTTACTTTGTATTTCAACTTCTCGTTAGCACAAACATCTAATCAGGTCAGGATGAACTGTCAGAGTTCAATCTGAATAGAGAATAAAGGTCATGTAGGTCAGTTTGCATGTGGCGTGGATTTTGGTGCCAAATAGGCCGATCTGGGTATTTCAGAGACGACCACATGACTATTTCTAGGCATTATAGAGTTTAAAGAGAATGGGCAGAAAAAGAGAAAATATGACTGTTTAACCTTCACCACACCACACTGGAAGCAACTCCCGTCAGCCTGCAAGAAGCTGAGGCTACAATTTGCAAGGCCTCACTGAGAAACTAAAACAAAAAAATATTGCCTGGTCTGATGAGTTGTAATTTCTGCTGCAACATTGGAATGGTTCCTGTCAAAAAATGTGAAAGCATGGATCCATCTTGCCTTGTGGATCCAGTTCATGCTGCTAGTGGTGTAATGGTGTGAGAGATGTTGTCTTGGCATACTTTAAGCCTCTTAGTACCAACAGAACATTAGTTGAACACCAAAGCCTACCTGAGTATTGCTGCTGACCATGTCCATCCCTTTATAACCACACTGTACCGATCTTCTGATGGCTGCTTCCAGCAGGGCCCAATGCCCCAATCACCCCACACTGGTTTCTTGAACATGAGTTCATTGTACTGCAATGGCCTCCACAGTCACCTGATTTCCATCCAGTAGATCACCTTTGGCATGTGCCACCAACAAATCAGCAGCAAATGTATGATGCTATCATGTCAATATGGGTCAAAGTCTGTGACGAATGCTTCAAGCACCTTATTGAATCTCCATCACAATGAGTTAAGGCAGCCCTGGAGACAAACAGGACTCCAGCCAGAAGCAGAAAGATGTACCTAACAAAGTGGCTGGTGAGTGCATATTAGTTTATTATAATTGGTGACGCATTCATTCATCTGTCACTTTAATGTTGCTGCTGGTGTGTCTGTGTTTATTTTAATCCTTAAAGAGCCGTGAGTATAAAATGAAGTTACTCATGTAAGTGCAAGCATTTCAAAACTGCACTTGACATTACCCGAATAAGTGTACTACTATGACTTTGACTTGATGATTAGATTCATTGATGTGTTGCTTCATGGATCCATATACTTATCCTTTTAGGTAACTGCTCTGCATTTTTGTTAAAAACTCATTCATATTTTGATCATAGATTCAATTTTTTTCCACTCAGATTTTCCTCTTTCCCCCCAGCTCGCAGGGATAGTAAGACTCACCAGCTTGAAGGACGGTTCCACTGTGATTTCTTTTTATCATGACAGCTGTGGCAGTTTCTCCTGCATGGCACTTTTAAATCAGATTTGCCATATGGACTCTAATATTTCTGTTCGACTCCAAATCTCTGGAGCATTTTTTTTTTTTAAACCTATCATTAAAAGTGATCCATCACAATAAATGAAAAGCAGAATTTCATCAGCATTCATAAAGGGCAACTCATTGCTTCATATTAACATTTACTTGTCAAAAAAGTGAATGAAACCTTTTTACTTGATCCTATAAATACTATTATGCATATTTATGAAAAGCAGCTGACTGAATAAAGTATTGAGTTCTTCTGCACAAGTTAGTAATTTCCTCCAGTAAGTCCCACAGTTTGCTATTCAGATGTCACTTATTGGTTTGCTGAGTGCGTTTCATCAGTCACTGTCTTGGTTTTATGCAACCGAGAACTGACCATATTAGAAATGTTATAAGAAAGAGACACGGCACTCAAAGGATCCTGAAAAAAGAAAATTAGATCCAAGGTAATCGGTTATTTTATGCATGCAGTATTTGTGCATGCAGTATACCTTACTTACCAAAACTAAAACACTGATTTCTTGGATAGGCTGTTCTGTGACTCAAAACAAAGCCTGCTTTGCTATTTGTCAGATAACTTCATAAAAACACAAACACGGAAGAGAGACCCAGTTTAGTTGACTCCAGTCAGTTCTGTCAGCCTGCATTGGAAACTGCTTCTCACTCTGTATCCAGCGATAAAGCATAAGTTTAAGCCTAAAGAGTTAAAGAGTCAATAATAATAATAAAAACATAAAAACAAAAGAAAAAAAAACCCACTTGCAATAAAATGTCTTAATGCTCAATCATCCAGGTTGGAAATCCCAAAAAGTTGATTTTGGATGTAGAGTTTTCCCACTGAAAATGCTACATCCAGATGAACAGAATTAGCCTTTTGGGACTTGTAATGGTAAATGGCCGGTATTTGTATAGTGTTTTACTAGTCCCTAAGGACCCCAAAGCACTTTACACATCCAGTCATCCACCCATTCACACACTGGTGATGGCAAGTTACATTGTAGCCACCCTGGGGCGCACTGACGGAGGCGAGGCTGCCGGACGCTGGCGCCACCTGACCACCACCAGTAGGAAACGGGTGAAGTGTCTTGCCCAAGGACACAACGACCGAGACTGTCCAAGCCGGGGCTCGAACCGGCAACCTTCCGATTACAAGGCGAACTCCCAACTCTTGAGCCATGATCGCACCTTTTGGAATAAAAGCAGACATTAGCTATAATAATTAGGCTAAAACAAAACGAACATAATTAGTCCTGCTCTAAAACTGGGCACTTTTTTATGGGATTCTACTGGCATTTTTTTTTTCTTTTTTAGGGAGTTGGCCCAGGAACTGTGACCTTTTGGAACAAGGTGACCAGTCAGTCAGACTGGTCACAGACTGGTCACTTTGGTGTCGTGGCAACCTCAAGGAAGTTACTGTTCGTAGTTATTTGTTTTTGTTGGCTGAAGATGTTATTAGTTTATATTTAAATGATATATATGATATGATGATCTTATCTGATTCTCCATCTGAATACAGTATTAGTATTGGTATAATGTGGCACACTCAACACTGTTCCAAAGTAATGCATTTGAATGCTCAGATTACTTTATTGTTATAACAGGTATTATGCTGTTATCTGTGCTTTAGTTACATTTTCAGATGAGTTCTGTTAAATATGCTTCCACATTTCTTTTCTTGTG